TATTATGTCTACAACATTAGCCCCCAACCTTGGGTGACCCCAGATGTTCTTGGACTGCAACTCCCAAAGACCCTGGTCAGCAGAGGTAGTAGTAAAGGCTTCTGGGAGTTGCAGTCCAAGAACATCTGTGTTCCCCAAGGTTGGGAACCACTGGTCTACAGCATTCCCAATAAAAAAAAAAATGAGGCTGGGTTAGTTGGCAGGATTTGTTCTTGACAAATCTGTGTCGGCTTCTAGTTATTACGGCTTTGTTTACTAGGTGTTTGCATAGTGATCGCTTTATAATCTGTTCCAGAATTTTCCCTGAAATTTATGTCAGGCCGACTGGTCTATAGTTTGCAGTACCCTCCTTTTTTGCCCTTTTTCTAGATAGGGACAACATTAGCCCTCCTCCAATCATCTGGCACCACACTCATTTCCCATGATCTTTTAAAAAATAGGCAGTGTTTCTGAGACTTAAGTCAGTTCCTTTAATAGTCTTCGATGCAGTTCACCGCACTATGGAGATTTGAACTCGTTCAAAGTAATTTTTTAGAGTTTGGAAAAATAAGTTTATGGATTACAGAAATGCTGCCCTAAAAATGAAAAGTTTTTTCAAAATGTACCTCAGAGAGGTGTATTAAACGTGAAAATACAATTGGAAAAGTGTTCTGTGAAGAAAGCAAAACCAAAAGAGACTTAGTTGTCTGTGAACAAAGTTACTGATACCAACGCAGAAGTAGCTCATTCAGTTTTGTGCCAGTTTACGCAATGAAAAAAGTAAACAACTGAGCACTTATGTTACGTGAAACAAGGATAAGAGAAAAAAATGGAAATGCATTTTAATCTGACATTTGTGTTGTGTTTTAATAATAATGCTAATTAGGAAATATTAGGATTAGGCATCCTTCAGTCTCAAGAGACTATGGTAATGTGCTTTGAATAGAAGTCTTGGAACAGCATCTAGTGTGGCTAAGAAGGCCAATTCGAGAATGACCGTCCCTTCCACACTGAAAATAAATACAATCTGTCCCCTGTCCAGATCCCTGATTTTGCTGCTTTCGGGACTGCCTCTTTGCCATGGCCTGCTGGTCAAGTGTCTCTTCAAAATGGGAGAGGACGTGATGCACCGCCTGCCTCCAGGCTGAGCGCTCAGATGTCAGGGTTTACCATCTGTTCAGATCCATTTCCAAGGCCTTCAGATCCCGCTTGCATATATCCTTGTATCGCAGCTGTGGTGTCCCTCCGGGGTGATTTCCCTGCACTAATTCTCCATATAGGAGATCCTTTGGAATCCATCCATCAGCCATTCTCACGACATGCCCAAGACAATGTAGACGTTGCTGTTTCAGTAATGTATACATGCTCAAAATTCCAGCTCGATTTAAGACTACTCTATTTGGAACTTTGTCCTGCCAGGTGAAGGATATTGTAGCTTTTGATGGCTCAACATCAGATTCCCTTGACATTCGAAGTCTCCTTGCGCTGACCCTGTTTGGGATCTTTTTTGCTGTCATGCGGAAGCACGCCTTTGGAACTGCAACAAAAGGTGTCTATCTCTGGACTAGATCAGATGGAAAGTTCTGTAATCTCTCTAGATTGAGAGTGAAGACCAAAGTCCAGCTGAAATGCATGCGGGACTTCCTCTTTGACGATGATGCAACTGTTGTTGCCCATTCTGCTGAAGACCTCCAACTCATGAATTGTTTTAGCAAGGCCTGCCATGACTTTGGATTAACAATCAGCCTGAAGAAAACACAAGTCATGGGCCAGAGTGTGGACTCACCTCCCTCTATTACCATCTCCACACAAGAATTGGAGGTTCTTCATTTCATGTACCTTGGCTCAGCGATCTCTGACTCTCTCTAGATGTCGAGCTGGATAAATGCATTGGGAAAGCAGCTATCATGTTCTTTAGACTCACAAAGAGAGTATGGCTTAATAAGAAGCTGACAGCATATACCAAGGTCCAGGTCTATAGATCCTGTGTCCTGAGCACAATTCCTGTACTGCAGGGAGTCCTGGACCCTTCGTGCATGGCAGGAAAGGAATTAGGAAAGAAATATCACAAAACAGATGTGGAAACTCATGTTAAGCAAATGAGAATAAGAATATATTGTACAATAAAAGCCTTTACAGAATAGTGTAAAAGCAGAAAAGAATATGTTATTTTAAGTGGTTTGTTTAATGATAATCAAGCAGAGATGAAACAAAGGTAACATTAAGTTTTAGCCTCATAACTAATAATTCTCTAATATAGTATGGTAACAATAAGGAATATGAAATCATATAATATTTTGTAGTATTTATGAATGAATAGGTATTGGTATTCTATAATACTGTTCCCATTCCCAATGGTATTGTCAGTGAATTACCATATTTCATGTTTATAAGACGACCCCATTTATAAGATGGCCCTCTCCCCACTTTTCTAAACCAAAAATTAAGAAAACTTAGCTTTGAGTATTCATCTTCTGGGCTCAGAGCGCTCGGACATTACGAGTCCCTGTTGCATCGGAGCCTACAGGCTCCACCTCCAACAAGGTGTGTTCCAATTGGTTTGTTCTGGATCACATGACACCAGTTCCATAAGGCTCATGACTTGAGGAAGCTAAGTGTCTTGACTGTAGGAAGCTAAGCCTCATGATCGAAGGAAGCCTGTTTACAGAGGCAAGGTACGAGCCATTTTGTTCTCTCCTCAGTGTATGTCCATGTATAAGACGCCCCTCAATTTTTAGTGTGATGATTTTAGGAGAAAGTAACATCTTATACACAGAAAAACATGGTACATCATTCTAACAAGCACTGGCTCAAGGGAGGAGAGATTTTACACTTACCTTGAAAGTTAAGCCTTGGAGATGCAAAAAGTTGGACTTCACTGAGTTTGAGATGGGCAGATCTTGCGGTCTTCAGCACCTGAACTTCTTATTGGCTAAGGGAACTACACTATGAAGTTTGTTTTGATAAATGATGTGGCACTAGGCTATAAATAGGAAGCTTTCACACACTGCTATATAATGAAAAGACATTTTATCCAAAGGGAACGGAAGCAGCTTTGTTCGCATGGAGTGAGACAGATAATGGGACTCATGCCTAACATATAGACAGAGTGCAGCAAGGAGTAAACAGTGGACATAACATAGATTCTAACTAGCAAAGGTATGGTGAGAAAATGTTTCTCTGTGTTTTAATAACGTGCTTATAGGTAAATGATGCTTTTACTTTTGTATTTTCTTATAAAAACTCTGATGTTCTTTAACATATTTTTAGGAAAGCTTTTAAGGCTTTTGGAGTTATACTGCCCTTTACTCTTAAACGAAATATTATAGATATGTATTCTCTGCCTTTATAAGCTATGAGGTTTTGTGTTTTAATGTTTTTGTATTTTTGATGTGAACATGACCGAGGTTCTTGTCTGGACTTTGTATGATGATAAGCTTACAAGCGAGATGTATTTTCTGACTTAAGTATTTGTCCCAAGTTTAAGTTCAGTTTTATAGATTTTCAAGTATTTTAAGCCTACGATCATTGCATAACTATATGACTTTTGGGCTAAAGCATATGTGCCTACAGTTTTCCCCCCACAACAGTAAGACTATGATGATTCTTGGATTTGCTATTTTTAAGTATGATGTTATGCGTAATTTAAGGAGGAACTGAAAGGAGGAGGAAGATAAAGACCCTATTGGGTCATCTTTCTTCAGAAGAGTTGTGCTTTTTAAAGCAACATCTCTACCTTCTGCCATTCTTTATTGTTAAAGTAAAAGTGGTCCCACAAAATGGTTGTTTCTTTTAAACATCTATAAATAGCTCCCAAAACTGAGCATCTTCCCTGACATCAGGAGACATGCCTTTCGATCTAGTTTGTACCAGCATCTATGTTCCAGACAAATGCTATGGAAATGTATTACCCAAGAGCGCTGTTCATTTGCATACTTTGATGAACAGCACAATACTCAAACCCATAGAAAAAAAAATATACAACAGCACCCAACTACACTACAGATCGGCTGCCTGGACTTTCAATCTCAGCTCAACGACTTTGATTGGCGGAGTAAACACCACTTTTACGGAACAGTCTGCAACAACTGGAGGTTCAGGAAAATGTCTTCTGCCCAAATTGTTGCCCTTCTGGTAACTGTAGCGGATTTGGCTCTTGGTGGGCTCATCTCCAATGGTTTCATTGTTACTGTGACAATCCGTGACTGGGCTAAAAGCAAGAGCCTCGCTTCCAGTGAGCAACTCCTTCTGAGTCTTGGCATATCCAATCTCTGTGCCATAGTAGCATTGTATCCATATTACCTTAATGCTGTTTCAGCAAACATCGTAAGTGACAAATCAAAAGAAAAACTCTTTCCTTTTTCTGTCTTCATTGTGACATCCAGATTCTGGTTCACTGCCTGGCTCTGTGTCTTCTATTGTGTCAAGATAGTGAACAGCACTCAGTCCCTCTTCCTGTGGTGGAAACGGAAGATATCATGGCTTATACCTCGTCTTCTTGTGGGATCTCTGATCATCCCTTTTTTAATTGGTTGTTATGCATCCCAAAATATTTCTGTTGTGCTAACAATCAAAAGCAACACAATGACCAACGTTACAAATGGGACTCAAGGAAAAACAGTAAAATATCTTATTGATTCCTTTAAATTCTCTTATTATATTATTGGTTCCGGCTTCCCCTTCCTTGTGGTTTTTTTTTGCTCCATCCTGGTTGTCGGTTCACTCTGTAGGCACATCTGCCGTATAAAAGGTAACAAATCCAGTTTAAAGACCCTCCAAACAGAAGCTCATATGAAGGCAGCCGGGACAGTGCTCTATCTCCTGGTCCTTTACATTTCATTTGTTGTGGCACAGTCTTTGGCTACGTCTACACCTTTGGAGAAAAAAGCAGCAGTCCTTGTTACAGTAGTGATGATGGTGTACTCCCCTGCTCAGGCTGCCATCTTGGTGATGGTTAACCCCAAACTCAAGCAGGCAGCTATGCAGATGCTTTGAAGAACAGAGCTTTAACCGCTTGAGGATTAAACTAGATGTTGTTTAAGGTCCCACAATCTTTTGTCTTTTTTTTAATTGTCCCATTTCCCTCTTAAATTCTATGAAGAATGCAGGATGACCTTCTCCTTCCTCCCTGTCCTGATTTTTCTTTCTTCTAAGTATGCAGTTAGTAACATTAGCCAAAATTTGTCTTCCTACGGTGTGTGTGTCCGCGCATGCGTGTGTGTGCGTTTATTTATTTTTTAGGGAATACTAGAAAACAACATTATTGTTTGTTTTTAATTTCAGTAATGAATACTGAAATTATATAAATGATTGTTCCTTACTCTTCAACACTAAATGGCATTTGCTGCTTAATCAAGCACCCATATTCCATATGTATTCAAAAACACTGCCCCTTTTACTTATTTTTAAGACTTAAGCTCAACTGCAGGCCGTTTTTTCTCTTTCCTTTGTTGGTATTTTTATTTTTTAACTTGGAGGAACAGTTATAGCCTGAACAGTAGGATTAATATACAACAAATGCATATGAATATGTTTAGCCTTTAAGCAAACAGAGAGACGAGCCAAGTTCAACTTGCTGGGCAGGACAGAATGCCCCACAGAGCCCTAGGCCAGATGCTTCAGCTGCAACACCAGTGTTTCGAAGGCAGCTTTACATCCGAATTCAGTCTCTATAGGCTGCTACACCATGCTCAGCAGATTTCATCAAAACAGTATCAGAGCTTCAGCAGCGCCTTCGAAAACCAGCCACTGGAGTGAATGTTGCAGGGCGAGGGACACTTCCTGCCATGCTGTGATGACGAGATCTATCTGGTAGTGTTTTTGTCAAGGAAAAGCATCTCCACAGACTCCACAGATTGTTTGCTTCTCCTCAGTTTAGACGTCTGGACTTTCAGCTGGCTGCTGAACCTCAACACCTGCTTCCATAGAGAGGTAATGCATGATCCACTGCGCAGAGTTCATGAAGACATTGGCTTCAGCCTCCACTCCATTTATGGCATGATTCTCTTCTGGATACCACAGCAGTCTGCAAAAGGAACACCAAGAGAACTTTCACGAGTTCCTGTGTGCACCATAATGTTACAGACTTGAGAAGAGATTCCCACCAGACGTCCTCCCATCTCTAAGGCATTCTTCCCACTAGAGCCTCACCTCACCCTATTTGAGGGATTTACCATGACCGATCGATCCACTCTCGAGATATCTGCTCTCCCTCTATGTTACCAAACGTCTGGGTTTGAACAATATTGGTGAGAAACCTTCTATCTTTCAATAACTATATGGGTGTGTGTGTGTGTGGTGTGTGTGTGTGTTGCACAGAGATCCAGATGAAAATTGGGAACCCATTTGGAAAGGACGCTGTGTAGGCCAAAGTCCCAGAACATGTATGGTTAAACCAAAAACCTGAAGGGAAAGAAGGTCTTTCTGGTCAGATTTGCCAGTGAGGCTCCAAGACATGGAAGATTACAGGAAGCGTCACTTTGGCTGCACATTCATGCCTCTCCTAGTTATTCCTCCCTGTGTCTGTGGTGGGTACAGAAACATGTGTGGATCATGAAAAAGCATTATTGCTCCCTACAGCTCTCTCTGCCCTGAAAAGTTTCCTTCCTCTGACCTGATATTTCTCCATATTATTTATGAATCAACTCTAATTTTTGCTTTTTCCAATATCATCTCTGTAAATGCTTTGATTTTTATGTGTCTAGTAAAATTCTACTGCTGAAGGGCTGTGTTTTAATGTGATTTACTCAGTCAAAACTGTCTTAAGATTCATTATTGACATTGTTCAAAGATTTCTTACCGGTGTAGTTCATCCATGTGCTCTGAAAGCACACCAGGTAATGTGTGGCAGTGAAGAGATGATTAGATGCATTTATGAAGGGCTTGGTCTATCAATAGTCATTTTGTTAAACCATGACAGCTGCATGGGGCACTGATGTACTGAAATAATCTCAATTTGTAGAGGATCTTATTGAGCTCATAAGCTCCTGGCTGCCTATCACTAGTTGCTATTTGATGGAGTTATAATAATGGACATGACATGCTGGCTTATTCAGCTGTCTTACTCTTCTAAATAATGGTTTGCTTTGTCTTTAGACTCTGAACCTAAACCCTTTCTTGTCTGAAGTGTTTCCCCCCCCTCCATTTTGTATGAAGGTTGCCATCTATATTCAAAGGTTCAGCTGAGCCACAGACAAAATTCCAGGGTTGAAATATTTCATGAATCTAAAAGGAAGTGCCTACTGAACCTTCAGCTGCAATTAGTGGATTCCAAACTGAGAAAGGATATAGTTACCACTCTACTGTGTCTGTGACACATCTTTGGATTTTCTCTTCTCCAAACTGCAGTAGACAAATACATACAGAAGAACTGATGTCTTAGGGAGGAATTATCCCCCATCCTACATGTGTTTATTTTTGCAACACACAAGAGCAGATACACAGTCCGCAAAAGGTTTAGGGTGATCCCTAAAACTATTGCCATCTTGAAGCTGGATTTCAGACTGTCTACGGTCTGTTCTTGAGAATAGCCTCTCCATCAAGAGATGATTTAACAATGCTGCTTCAATACATTTTACAAGATTTGGACACACTGGGAACACAACAATATTAATCCACAGAGACAGATGTTTGGATGAACATGACTTTTATAATAAAGGACTGGCTTCCAACAGCCTCCACGCTGATGTATTCTGCATATAAGTTAAATAAGGAGGGAGACAATATACAGCTTTGTCGTACTCCTTTCCCAATTTTCAACCAATCACTTGTTCCATAATTGTTGCTTCCAATCACTTGTTCCATAACTGTTGCTTCCTGTCCCATATACAGTTGTGCCCCGCTTAACGATTACCCAGTATAATGATGAATCCGCATTACATCAACGTTTTTGCGATCGCTTTTGCGATGATGTTTTAAATGGGGGAATTTCGCTTCATGTTGATTGGTGCCCTGTTTCGGGAACAGTTTTTCACTTTACAACGGTCAACAAACAACTGATCGTTGAGTTTCAAAATGGCCCCCCGCTGTTTTCTAGGACGGATTCCTCGCTATACAGGCACCGAAAATGGCCGCCGTATGGAGGATCTTCGCTGGACGATGAGTTTTGCATCCCATTGGAACACAATGAACGGGTTTTCAATGCGCTTCAATGGGATTTTTTCATTTCATTTGACGATGTTTTCGCTTTACAGCAATTTCACTGGAACAAATTAACATTGTCAATCGAGGCACCACTTTACAGATTTTTCAGGAGATAGATAAGGTGGTCAAGCACTCCCATTTCTTTAAGGACTTACCATAGTTTGTTGTGGTCCACACAGTCAAAGGCTTTTGCATAGTCAATGAAGCAGAACTATCCTTCTGAGGTCGGTAAAATGAGTACCCAGCTTGCTGGGGGGCCAATGTGTAGCCTGCATAATTAACATGTAAACCTCCCAGAGAGTGCTTGAAGCGCTATGGGGCGGTATATAAGCAGTACACTTTGCTTTTTTTGCTTTCGATGTTTTTCTGGAAGTCTCTGCCTTTCTCCATAATCCAGCGCATGTTGGCAATTTAGTCTCTAGTTCTTCTGCCCCTTCGAAATCCAGCTTGTACTTCTGGGAGTTCTCAGTCCACATACTGCTGATGCCTACCACCTTATTAGAATCTTGCAAGTGTGTGAAGGAGTGCAATCGTATGGTAGTTGGAGCATTCTTTGGCACTGCCCTTCCTTGGGATTGGGATGTAAACTGATCTCTTCCAATCATCTGGCCACTGCTAAGTTTTCCATACTTGCTGACACATTAAGTGTAGCCACTTTAACAGCGTCATATTTTAAGATTTTAAATAGTTCCACTGGAATGCCATCACCTCCATTGGCCTTGCTGTTAGCCATGCTTTCTAAGGCCCATTTGACTTCACTCTCCAGGATGTTTGGCTCAAGGTCAGCAACTACACTATCTGAGTTGTCCGGGACATTCAGATCTTTCTGGTATAATTCCTCTGTGTATTCTTGCCACCTCTTCTTGACGTCTTCTGCTTCTGTGAGGTCCCTACCATTTTTGTCCTTTATCATGTCCATCTTTGCACAAAAGGTTCCTTTAACATCTCCGATTTTCTTGAACAAATAGCCCCAGGTTTTCCCCATCTCTGTTGATCCTTCACCATGTGCCACTGACCCAGAAAATCCTGAACCTTCCTCCTCCTCTCCTTTTATTCTCGCTTCCCTTTAACTCTACCAACAGGCCCTCCTCCCATCCTCTGAGGTGTGGTTCATCATCCTGGTTCCCTAGAGACAGCTAGACTTCCCTTCTCTTAGCCTTCCCAAGAGCCCAAAGCTGTTTCTCCACCCAGGCTCTCAGGCATGTGTGGGGCAAAGGAAGGCAGCCCGCCCAGGGTAATGGAGGCAACCTCCTCACAGTCACTCAGGCAAGAAATGTTTAATTATCCCAGGGAGGTGCATTTCAAGTGTCCATATGTCACACGTCCCTCTTCCCTTTCATTGTCATTACACCACTCTCTCATTCATTCATTCGTTCGTTCGTTAGTCCCTCTTCCCTTTCATTGTCACTACACCACTCTCTCATTCATTCGTTCGTTCGTTCGTTCGTTCGTTCATTCGTTCGTTCGTTCATTCATTCATTCTCTAACTTAGTGCTATGCACTACTCAAGGTGGTAAGCAAGCACAGCTAACGTATCTCCCCATGTGCATCAATTTCATTGGCACTCAAATCTTTCTCTCCCCACCCCCCATGGTTAGGAAGTGAAATAATACTGAACTGAAAAGACATGGTAAGCATTTTTAGTGCTGTACTAATTTATCACCATGCACCAAAATAATGTCTCTGGAAATGCTAAACAAAATAAAACTGCTAAAAAAACACCACTCCAAAACAAAATATACCACACACTCATGCCAAAAGATCAGATCTACTTGTGACTGATTAGCGCTAATGTCATGTAGTCAGCGGTATCAATATCAAAAGGAACAGTGAAGAATATGGCAGAAACAGCAGGACAAATATCCGTGTAATTACTTCCTGTGGAAAAGCCAGAGCAAATACAATGAGAAAGATTTGGGAAAACATTACTTTGTTTGAGGAACAGTTTGCACCAGAACCTTCCAGTCCTAAATATGCTCACCTCCCCCACTGAGCCTGCAGCCAGATCTTGCTTTGTTTCTCCACAGATTTAGGCTGGGCATAACTGTCTAACGCAACATATTCTGAGAGGAAGGGCAGCTTAACCTCTGGCCTATTGCACATCCCAATCGTCAGAAAAAGACCTACCGCACAGGGATGCCTCTGGCTCGTAGCACACGATAATATTCCACAGCTTGGTATGGAGACACTCGTCGGTCCCTGGCACCCACACACAGTAGTACCGGTGCTTGCACCTGGAAGGGAAGAGAGAGGCCATTGTGTGAGTGGTACAACTCTGCAAAACCTATTGACACATTTCTCTAAAAATTAGAATACATCGAAAAGTGGAACAAATATATATATATTTCTGAAATCATGTTACCCATGCAAATTAAGCCATTAGTAGACAAACTATTCTGCTTCTGCTATGCATAGGATTGATCAAGGGAACCTTTATTGCTGCTAAGGACAATCTGATTAGTCATGCACACTTGTACATACATATCATATACGGTCATGTGAAAAAGAAAGCACACCCTCTTTGAATTCTATCGTTTCACGTATCAGGACATAATAATCTGGACTTTAGCAGGTCTGAAAATTAGGTAAATACAACCTTAGATGAACAACCCTTCCCAGATTATAAGGGAGTGGATAATTTTGGAAAATGATAGATCACTCAGTCTAGAGGGGCATGGTCTGCAATCTGGCTGGCATGCTTTTTTATGGTATAAAAAAGATAAAGAGCAAAAATATTTTAACTCACATATGATAAGAAGAGCTTTATTGGGAACTTGGAAAAAGATCGCACAGCAAATCTACCAAAAAACACCAGTATGGGTATCACCTATAGAGGCTTATACACACCCTAATCTTATGACAAAAGAAAAACTCTTAAGATATCAAGAGTTGCTAAAAAAGGATCATGCGTTAAGATCAAAAGAAGTGTTAGAGACACAGAACATTCAAATAGACTGGTGGTCTAAAGCACAGCTAGAATCTAGATAAAGGAAGGATAAAATAGAGGGTATATATTTAGAATAAACGATATTTGATAAACTCTTATTAGGTTCAAAAGATAAAATAATCAAAAAATGTATAACTACCTACTAGAAATTAAAATGCAAGAGGAAATGGTTAAAGAGTGTATGATCAAGTGGGCACAAAACATAGGTTATAGTATCGATATTGATCAATGGTTACAAATATTGCAAAATATAAAGCTTACAAAATCAGTTAACTTTAAAGAGAATATTTACAAGATGTTTTACAGATGGCACATGACCCCAGAAAAACTATTGAAAATGTATAGATTATCAAGTTCCTGTTGGAAATGTGAAGCACATGTGGGAAGCTATTATCACATGTGGTGGACCTGCAAAGCAGTGAAACAATATTGGAAAGAGGTGCATTTGGTATTTCAACAAATATTGCGGTGTAAAATCCCACTAACACCAGAATTGTTTTTATTGTCTATGATACCAGATAATATAGACAAAACAAAGAAGGCTATAGCTACATAGCTACATATATAGTTACCACAGCTAGAATCTTATATGCTAAAAACTGGAAAAGTCACAGCATACCGAAACAAGATCTGATAGAGAAGATAAGAGAAACGGCAGAAACGGACATACTATCAGAAGTAATGAAGGACTGTCCATTGCAAAAGGCAACCCAAAGATGGGACTTATTTTACAAATGGTTAGAATCACTAAACAATGCTTGAATAATTTAGAACAAAATGTGGATTAAAATCTCGAAGACAGAAAAGAGTAGAAAATCGGAAATAGAATTGTGGGATGATAATGTGAATAGAATGGATGTTAATATATTTTTGTGTCTCCTCTTCCTCATACCCCAACCTTTCTTTCCTTTATCCTTTGTGTCCCTTACCCTATCCCAAGTTATTTTAAAAAAAACCCTTCCCAGATTAATGGGCAGCAACAATTGCTTCTCTACTATCACTAGTGATGTGCTTCCTCCTTGGAATTATGTTAACACATAACATATGTTAACACGCAGCAGATAACCAAACTGCTAAAACTTTGGCTTTTATAGAGGTGGCCACACTTGCTGATTGATCAATTATTCAAAGGCATTTAGTTAGCAGCTCCTGGCTACTACTTAGCCTCTTAATTCCTATGGAAACAATAAGGGTCTACCACGGCTTCTCCATTTTGGCTTTATTTCTGTAAAACTAATCCTGACAGGGTGTAATATGTCATGTGTTATTGTTCATCTGAGGTTGTATTTACCTAATTTTCAGACCTGCTAAGGACCAGCTGGTTTTCATTATCTACATTCAAAAAAGGTGTACTTTCTTTTTCACGTGACTGAATCTTAGTTCTTTCTCTAACTGCTCAAATTTCAGGAAGAATACCTTCAAATCTGTTCATTGTCACAAGGACTTTTTAAAAATCACTGTGGAAATTCTCAGTCCTAAAATATATACCCCAGTTGGTGCTGAACTGTGTGTGTGCATATAGCCTGACACATGACACGATGAGACCTTCACTGCAAGACATTTATTTGTTAGAGATTCAGGTGCTGCAAACAATGAATTCTTACATCAACTGGCACTTACCTTTGCAGCATGAGTTATGGGGGAGCTGAGCAGCATGGCAGCCAGATCTTCTGCAGTAGGAATTTGCTCAAAGCAGTACGGAAGACCTAAAGCTGAGAAACGCCTGGGGAGATGGTGCAGCCTATTAGCCTCATGCCCTCATTCCTCACTTCCACCCAGTGCCGAACAACACAATCCCCAGACAGCTTTGAGACATACTGTATGTGGAGATGGTTAGAGGAAAAAAGAGAAGGTGCTTTTGATAGGGAAGGCGAGAGTAGGAAGACAAACTGATCAACTAAGATACAATGAAGACAAGTAGAATCATTGCTGGTTGGGTGAAGAATAGGTAAGAGAGGAGGGACGAGAGTAGGTTTGTAGCAGAGAATAAGACGTGGAACAAGATGTCAGGGTCATGTGTTCAATGAGGCAGAAGGACCAGAGAAACAAATCTCTTACCAATCAGGGATGTCAGAGGTTCCCAGCAGAGTGGCCGTGTTGATGACAGGGCTTCTGACTGCACAGGCTTTGTACCTCTCTGGATACCGACCAATCAAATGGCAACAAATAAAGCCACCATGAGACCCTCCCAGCAAGGCAATTCTGTTTGGGTCCAGGGGCTCCATCTGCAATGCCACTTCTACTGCCCGCTATGAGAGCAAGAAAGAGCACAAGTCAGGCAGAGCTGCAGAGGGCGCTGAAAACTGAGAGCAAGTGCAGAATGCTGTGTTACCCAGCCATGCTCTCCAAACAGGTGTGATGAACTCACACTCTTATATACTAGGAATCTTTGAACCCTGGCATCAGTATATCCTGGTGGATTGTTCCCAGTGAATTACCCAAATGGAGCTATCTCTCAGGTTACTGAACACACCAGGAGTCAAAATATACACAGTAATTTCTTCAGGAATTCACAAACATTAATGCAGGAATGTTAAAAGGGCATCATTTGTCTCAAACATTATGATACATAACTAAGAAACTAAAATATGTAACTAGCTGGAAAAATGTACACTGTTCCATGAATCAGGCTTTGTTAAAGGTGAGGAGATGTAGCTTTAAAGGGCACACTTTTTGTGACGCCCCCACAGGCTGCTATGGGCTTGATTTCAATTCCTGCACATTTTAGGAATTGAAACTTAGCAATTTCAGGGTTCCAAAGTTTCTGAGAGGAGAACGGAGAGAGAGACAACAAGGCTTAAAAGAGGTGTTCAGAGGCTGAGGAAGTATGGCAAGGGGTCTGTTGCATAGTAGAATGGCTCATATTTCCTCCACCAGCTCCCTGCTTCCTAGCTCACTTCTAAACCATTTCTATCATATGACCCTCTGGGAGACCCTCGCACATTTCAAGGGGGGGGGGACAGACTGGAAAAGATTTTTCACACACCACTTACAAGGGTCATTATCGAACTTATACAATTCTTATTTAGCCTCTGTTTCTTTCATATTGTGTTTACAGCTGTGGCCAAAAATATATAGGTTAAAAATAGCTGTCCTAAAGGATTTTTTTTTTAAAATCAGAAGGGGTCTATTTTGGGGAATTCTCATCTTCTAGCACCTTCACGTTTCATTTTGGATTATGTTACCCTGAGGTTTTCAAGGTGTAAAACACTCAGAACCACATTATTGTCTTCTGGGCCACACTAACAGACGTTAGCTTGATTGGCACTGTCATTGTCTGCAAAAAAGATCCTCAGTGTCCCTTTCTGCTACTGTCGCTACCCGGCGGCTACCCAACTCTTCTGCTGAGTGTGACTATTAATTTCTGAAGCCAATGGATGCATCTTTGTCTGGTGTCTTTGACCACTTTGTCCTGGATGGCCCCGCAAGGAGTCTGAATTTGGAATGGAGTCTAGCCTCCTGATCATACTGCTCTCAGCTTCCCTGACTCACTCAAACCCTCATGATCAAATTAAGGCATGCTGCCAACACAAGAGACTGACTTGATAAAGGAAACAATGACTTTGAGTTTGCAAAACCTGAGCAGGGCTGCTAATGATAGGAATGCTGGGATATCACTAATTCATAGGGTTGCCATCAAGTTGGAAACAACCTGATGACACGTAACCACCACCATCATATTGAGAACCACATCAAACAAATGAAAGACTGCCTACAGTCTTTTCCACTTTGTGCCTGGGGCACAGGCTCTCCAAAATGGTCTGGATCCCTCACCACTTGAGAAGACGTTGTAGGGAAATGACCTTTGTAGGGAAATGACCTTTGGCAGACTTCCAAAGATATCTCCTTTGGCAATCTCATTCCATTCCTCCTGAAAAGAAACTGGGGTATAGAAAATTGCAGTCAGTACTACAAGGAGAGACTGATAAAAAGTCAGTAGTTTTGCAGGTCCTGAAATCCCAGATGTGCCTTTAGGAGAAGCTAACAATGTCCTTTTGCAAAGACCTCCGTGATTTTCACTGTGGGGACTGATCCAGTGCTCTTGGCTTAGTGCGATTTTAAGGCAATTTCAGGCAGTTAGGAATGGCAAGAACACAGGGATCTCAGGAATGATGGAACATTAAGGGGGCATGAAGCCAAGGACTTTGGCAAATACAATGGGCCCTGAAATCCCAGGCTCTTTACACTGTTCTCTAAAAGGAACATCTGCCCTGGCCTCAAATGTATCTTTTCTAGAAAGGCAAGGAAGTGGGAAGTGGAAACACAGTAGGCAACAAATGCTGGTTGGCAGAAAAGAAAAAGAGACTATTTTAAGAAGGCCCTCTTCAAAGAAAATTTAATCGACAGAAGCACTGATGCCATTTGCCAGCTGCTGAATGCCCTGTATTCACACCTATGTCCTGATTCACAGTGAAACATCAGGAAGAACTTTACTTGCAGCAATTAAAGGAGGCTCCGTTTATTCCTATTCTGCTTGCATGATCAGCAGGGTCTGCTGACCCCAAGAGACTAGGACTTGCTCCAGTTTGGCTTTGCCCAGGCTCTCTACCTTTGGAAATGCAAACAGTGTGGCGGCAAGTTCCTCCATACCCCTCTGTTGCATGGAACCAATCTCCAGCCTCACACAATTTTACACAGATCCAAATACATAGTCACATGTAAACAAAAATGGAGCAGGTGGAAAGTGGAAGTTCGGTTATGGCTTCATTTCCTGCATCGTTGTTATATTTCAGGTGCCTGGAATTAAAAAAAATCTTTCTTCTCAGAATTTGATATTTTTCTCCCTCCTAGCCCACTGTTTGTAGAGCTGTTCCCTTTTGATTATTTGGTGTTGGCTTCTGGACACTGATGGCTATGAGGAGAATAACAAAGCCCTCAAAACTGGACTGATGGTTTGTCATATCAACTTATATATAACAGCGCTGTATTATTTCCTCCTTACATGAAGTTCAGCAAACAGCAATCTTTTGCACAAGACGAAAAGTATCTCCTTAAGGGAAACTGGCAGACAGGTGTAAAAATACAGATGTGTTTAACTCTGGCAGGAACCAACTATTTTAGGGTACTTGGTGAGATAGAGAATCAACCACAACTCGATACAATAAACAGGATTTTATATTATATAGGGTTTATTGCGAGATAATATTTCCTGCAGGAAAGGAGATGACGGGGTTCTTTCTAGACTCAGATCATGTCAGCTCAATAACAGAAAATAAGGGAATTACCTTTGTAGGTTACAAGTCAAAACAAGATCGAGAAACAGGATCAAGAGGTTCCTTTGCCAAGGAAATTCAGAAGTAGTTCGACCTTCAGCCTACCCTGCACTTAACCTTGCTTAATAACATGTGATGGTCAGAGGCACATGTGTATGGAGACATTGGGTAACTAGATGCGCCTTCTCACAGCCATGTGGATACACTATATACTATATACAAAGAGACAAACTCCTTAAGGAAGCGTCCAAAGTTGTCATCCAGCCATTATCATGTGAAATACTTTTAGTTTAAAGCTTCACTTCCCCTTGTTTCTTATCTGCTCCCTTCCCTCAGCTTCTGAAGAGGAGGCAGATGTATTTCTCTTGACCTTCCTTTTCATGAGAAAGCAATTACTGTGCCTGGAAAGCAATTACTTTTCATGAGAAAGCAATTACTGTGCCTGTAGAGGTAATAGGTGGGGGATTCCTCTGTCAGCTATTCCTCCGAATGAGGCTCAAACATATTGACCTCCAAAGCGTTTGCAGTTCTAAAGACAGGAATATATGGAATATAGGTATATATATATAGGATAGAAAAGAAGTTTAAATTGATTTTCCCTGTACAGGTGCCAATAGACTTTGGGAACGTTCCACAGCAAGACGTCCTTCTAGTGCTCCTGGACTCAAGATGACAAACACACTGATGCTGCTGCACCCAGGAGGTCTGTGCAGTCTATCAGGCAGATCGGAACGGCACTGCTAGGACCCAGCACCTTCCGTCATGTTGAGACCCCAGAAAGGAAGGTGGAGAAGAGAAGTCCATTCGCTGGGAAGTGCTCATAGAATATTTCAGGTGTGCTTTGCATTAGCCCAATCTGTGACAACGGTTTCTCCTCCATACTAAAAAAGGAGGTGTGTGACCGGCTACTATAAAACAGGACAGACTGATATGCAATGCATTGTCCTTCTTTGTTCCAAGATTTCTTACACAGAATAGGAAAAGAAACTAAAAGGGCTGACCTGAGTATCTTCCACGTCTTGTATGCCCACATGGGAAATGAGTGAATCAATGCTGGCCTGGCCAAAACCCAGGGAGCCCCTGTAGTTTACTGCTTACACAAAAAGCAAAGCAAAATAGTAAATCAGGTATGCCTTCAACCAATGTCCCAAGACTTGCCACCCACCCCACCCACCAAGACTGCTTATTAGCAAATGGCTGCTCATGGAGTCTCCTGATCCCTGCTACTCCATTGTTTCCAAATGGTGTAGAAAATCTACAGTACAAGAAGCCCACCTCTCTGAATAAGAAACTGTTAGAAGCTGAGTACAAAGCAATATTCTGCTTTCTATTTCTCACTGTAGAATGTTGCACAGCTGTTATATTGACCTAGGGTACATATAACTTTGCTACTTCAGCAAACTATGGCATTAGCAATAAAACATGCTAATGATGAGAATTGGTGCTCTTTCCCTTGCTGCCATTCCCTCCTCGTTTGTGTCTGGCATAAGTGGTGGTTTCCTGCTTTGTTAAATAAAGTTTCCAATATTGTCTAAGGCAGAGAGGAATTTAAGAATTGTCCACATCCAAGTTTGGTATGCAAACCAGGAATTGCAAGCAGTGCTTAAACCAGTTTCCAAAAAGTCTCTCAAGGTGGCACACAAATAGAGGAGAGAGAGAACTTGGGCTCACATAAGCTTGTACCAGCTATATCAAACCTCAGTCTGTAAGATCTGGTCTTCTCTGATGAATAAATCTAGGCCTATTCATTTATTACTTGCCAACACATTTCTATAATTTGTTTTTCAATTTCCAGTGCATGGAAGAGATTTTACTGGCAAAACATAGGCTAAAACATTTAGCCTGCTAAATATGAGTATATGTGAAGCTAGCAGAGTTACCCAAGCAGGAAATGGGCACCATACCTACAAAAGTGCAGAAGGACAAAAAGAGCATGGTGGGCTTGTTTGGGAGGAAAGAATCTTTACAGTGAGTGACAGAGTGTGGAACACTTTGCCTTTGCTGACATTGATTTTGGATCCAGGCAGGCCTCTTGGTCTTGCCGTGACCTCTCCTTCTGACCCAATCCACAGGAAATCTCTTTTTCCAATATCCCTGTGGCGAGCACCCTGCTTTGGCTCATGTAGTAGGTTATTTGCATTTATCAATGAGAGCTGTTGGCTGGCAGAGCCAGAGAAACCAGAAGGGAGGGGTGAGGCAGAGAAGAGGAGTGAGAATTTTAGTCAGAGGAGGAAAGTTAGAAAAAATCGTGAGAGTGTCTGACATGAGAAGTCAGTTAAGAGTCAGAGATGAGAGTCTGAAGTAGAAGTTTGTCTGTGAGAGTTAGAGAGAGTGGCAGAGTTAAAGAGAGTTAAGAGTGAAACAAGTTATTATTAAACTATTGAATACTTTTAAGTCTTTGAAGAATCTGTTTATGTGATCTGTAACCAATAAATCTGTTTTACTCAACTTTACTCTCAGCGTAGACCTCAATCTTTCTAATTAAAGGTTGTTGACAGAGGTCAACTGATGGCAGCGTAAAGGAGGGGACATGTTGTGGGCCTCAGGCTAGTGAAATAACCTGGGGACACGTAGGGGCATGTCACAACCCTCTTTCTGTCTGGATACACAAGGTCAATTTTGCCCTCTCTTGTTAAGCTGTATCCCTGGCATAGACACTTCTTAGGAAGAAGAATGAGTCAGACAAAGATAAAAATTAATAATAATCAAAGTCTAGAAGTCTGGGGGTAACTTCTTGGCTTTCTAATTTATTTTTTAGAGTAAAGAGTCTTGGGGATCATTTCAAAAAGTATCCTTCTGAAGCAAGATTTCTCCATCCAATTTATTACATAGCTATTTGAACAGTAGCACAAACAGAATTGTTGAACAACTGTGAACACAAACATTCAGGGTGACTCACCCATGAGCACAGCAAAGCCCAGCCGACAGAGACACGCCATGGCTGGCCGCCAACGAGCATCAAAGACAGCGTGTGGGCCCCCTGAAAAACAGAACAACAGCTTTAACGCAAAAGGACCGGGAGCTCTCCAGATTTTGGAACCTATCTTTGAGAAGTCAAGACTGGGCAGGTTCCATCAGAGACCTCCTTCCCTATGTGGGGGCTGAGAGATTCAGGGTTAGGCAAGGAGGAGGAGTCTGGACTATTAGCTGGACTATCTGGACTTCTGCTGAAGCAGAAGGGCTCTTTCCCCCTCTTCAGATTTCAGAAGGGATTCAGAAAATTTCCTCGGCCCTACAAAAAAAATCTGGAAATCAGATCATGGCCATTTTTAATGGTGTCTTAACAAAAGCAGGAGAGAAGCTAGGAAACATGGGACTACTTGGTAGGTCACAGCAAGGGTTGGTTCAGGCAACAGAGGGCATCTGGTGTGACTCACCATGAGGGGAAACAATAAGGGGAAAGGCCTTTTCTCTTTGCTTGCTTCCTTGAGGCCTCAGCAATAGGGCTTCAAATGTCTGGTCAGCTGGAAGAGAGGACATCACATGATGCTACGCCCCAACCTTTCAATTGCCCCAGAAGAGTAATTGTGCAGTTCAGTCTCAACATACATAGTTCCTTTCTATGTTTTTCTTCCCTTTCTTGCTCAAGAGCTTCAAGAAAAGGCCTTCCTTTTTTCTTCTGTGAGAACCAGGAGATTGGTGCTTCTGAGTGAAAAAAAAAATCCAAATCCTAGCCCTCCTCCAATGAAATAATAAATTCTCAAGACCGAAAATCAGCTTCGTCCCTCAGAAAATCAAAGGTGATTAAACATAAATCACTTACTACCTTAGAAATTCTCTGTTTTATAACAGCACCAGCAAAACTATAAGGGCTTCTAACCTATCCCACAAAAGAGAGAGAGATATTTTCAAGGAAGACCCACCCAAGCTTAAGGCATGACTGCACAGAGGTCTGTCTCAGGCTGACACAAAATTCTCTACACCACACCGTGGCATTTAAACCAGTCACCATTCATACAGACATGTTTAATTATCGAGGAAAGATACATTTCAACTGTCCACAGATCTCACAGACCCTATTCACAATTACCACTATTTGCTGTTGTCACCACCTTCTTACCACCTTTTGCCAGCTTTCAAATCCCTTCTTTTTATGTGTGTGCATTAATGTTTAGCAAGTGAGATAGTGATGGACCAGCAAGACACAGTGAGCATTTGAAATAGTGCTATACCAGGTTAGTGCAGTATCAGTTTAGCGTTATCGCGTTAACCTAGGAGAATTTGTAAAAAGACAATTTACAAATATCATTTCAGCTGTAGTCCTTATGAGCAGAAGCAAAAGGGAAGCGAAAGGAATAGGATTCAGTCACACTCTATGCATCATCAGTGATTTCCTCTGGACATGATGAGCAACTGCCCTAGAGGACCAATACAGGTAATTACATAAGCCAAAACCAAGTTGACAGGAAATGCTACAAAAAAGCCCACAAGCTCTGCTGGTCAAACAAAATACAAAACCACATAATCCTATCAAAAATTCAATCCACTTCAAATTAGCGCTAATGCCATGTAGTCCAGCAATTCTCAACAGAGGCCATATGGCCCCCTGGGGCCCCCCTGAGACATTTGAAGGGGGGCACAGACCAAAAAGTTCATTCATCTGTTCATCTGTTTCAGTTGCATCCTTATTTGACAGGAGGCCGTGGAACCTGAGAAGAGCTTCTGAAAGTGCCATGACCAACACAAGGTTGAGAATGTCTGATATAATCAATGGAACAAATATCAAAAGGATCATGGCACAAACAATGGGACAAATACCTGTCTAGTTGCATTCTTTACAATTCGTTACAATGCTACATCCTGTTCGGCCCTGTTTGGACTGCTCCAGAACTACAGCAAGCTGTACAATCTCCCTCCAGTTGCTATGCCAAGGTCAAGAAATGAATTACTAAAGGATGCAGCTTTCCTCTTTGCCATAGGCCTTGTTTCCTTCACAAGCCACTTGTGCTACCCTATACATACAAATATAGCCTCATTCAGGGCAAGCTAACCACAAAGCACCCAACAAATCACAGCCAAGTCGGGGGGGGAGGGAGGGAATTTTGGGTCTGGATGGAAGCTCCATCCCTCTGCTTCCTTACTGGCTGGGATGCCCTCCTCAGACACTGGAGGATACACTGTGAGGATCTTCCATTCCACATCTGGCACTATAGAGGCTTCCTCCACAGTCACCCACTGTAGTTTCAACTCTCTTCCAGCAGGGGGAAGCACAGCCACCTTCTGCAAGACAGATACATTTGGTTACAGATGCAATAAATAGGCAGAGATTTTGCACATTCTTGCAAGATCTCTTAGCAGTGCACTAGTCTGTGGTATTCAGTTGTTGTTTTTTTCCTGAAGAGGAGGTAGCTGATGTAAACCAAAAGGCAATCTGCTCATGGGCATGTTTCTCTATTGCTGCATTTAAAAAAAAAAAAAAACCAAACCATGTTTTATTTTCATATATGGTTTATCTGTCAACTGACAAGGAACAGATTGCGAGGATATGCCAAATTAAGAGATCATACTAATTGCCAAATCTGGTTTGTGAACAAGTTTATGTGAAAAGCAGCTTGCCCATAATGTGATCTATGAAGACAGCACATACATAACACATTTCTGCCTGTGAACACTATGGGAAAGAATAAAGTAATGATGCTAGTTCACCAACTGCCTCTGCCTGTTTCACCCAGACCGAAAAAAATAAGGGAAAAGGAACGGAACTCTAAAGCAAGCCTAAAGCAACCCTTTGACCTTCAAAGGGAGTTTCTTACCAGGCTTGGGGGGCAATTGGGAGATGAACAGCTCGCCACCAGGAGATCCTGCTGAATTCCCAGAACAGTCCAGCTACCTTCTGGCATTTCTAGGGTGGAGCACCAAGAAAATCTCTTAAAGTTCACCTGAGTGAACCAAACCAAGTGAAAGCTCCTGTTGCAAGACAATGAATGGTGCAGCACTGAATATACATCTTACGGATGGGACACAGCTCGGCTGATGGGGCATGCACTGATATGAGTGTCCCATCGCTGGAGGCTTTCAAGAAAAGGTTGAACAACCATCTGTCCGGGATTGTATGAGGTCTCCTGCCTTGGGCAGGGCGGTTGGACTAGAACACTGGTTCTTAACCTTGGGTTACTCAGGAGTTTTGGACTGCAACTCCCAGAAGCCTTCACCACCAACTGTGCTGGCTGGGGTTTCTGGGAGTTGCAGTTCAAAAACATCCGAGTAACAAAGGTTAAGAACCACTGGACTAGAAGACTGCCAAGGTTTCTTCCAACCCTACGACAATTCTCTGATTCTATAATTCTTGGTGCTTGCTTCTTTAAGAAAAGAAAAAAATCATGTGGGGGACGTGAAATAGGCTGAATATAAGCTGTAGCCCAAGAAAGGGGAGTATAAAACCTTCAGAAGAGTATATAAAATGAAGGGTTTTTTTTAAAAAGGAAAGGCTCACCAAGTGGGGTCAGGATGGCTTTATATAAATCTAGATGAGCAGTCTTATGCTGAAGGCATATAGTGGGGAAGGGGGAGTATAAAACCTTCAGAAGAGTATATAAAATGAAGGTGTTTTTTTTAAAAAAAGGAGAGGCTCACCAAGTGGGGTCAGGATGGCTATATATAAATCTAGATGAGCAGTCTTATGCTGAAGGCATATAGCGGGGAAGGGATCGATCTGTTTAGTGAGCACTAATTAAAAGTCACCTTATTCTGACTGAAGCAAGCACTGAACAGCAATCAGAATTAGTTCTATCACAACCAAGCTCTGGAGGGGACACAAAAGAGGCCAAGGGATCCAGAAAAGCTTTGTCCAACTGTTCCCTTGTGCACCTCAACTGCAGATGGCCATTTGCTTGTGGCCTTGGTCTGCCCATGAGAATAAGCTGCACGGAGTGGAGTGGAGTCATTTTAGTGTAAGCCACTTGGATTAGACACATTACAAGCTGCTAGGCATGACCGTAAATGTATTGTGTTGAAAAACTGATTGTCACATTTCATAGCTTTGAACTCTCAAACAGTTTCATAGGCCTCAGGAGAGGACCCTTCCTGAGGCAAAAAAAACCTGGGTCAGGAGTTAACAGAAGGCTGACTGCAGCATTTTGTTCTCACCAGTCTTGCTCTGAATGGAAAAAATACTGTTACAAGTAGAAGAGTCCATCTCTGGAAGCTCTTAAATACTGATAGCTGAACAGATTGTGGACATTCAGTTTCAGACTAAGCCTCCTTTGGATAACAGAGGTCTACGAAATGAGCAGAAAAAATGGCTGTGAAAGCTCTTGTGAGTGTGTTTGACCTTTGAAACGACACACCTCTGCAAAAATAATACAATTTCTGTAGCCTACAAGCTAAGATTTTATTGTACCTGCTGTAATCGGTGTCACACTCCCCAGGTGAGTGTCCACAACCAGCAGCTCCTGTAAGAAATAGTAAAGGAAGGACAATGACTGGGAAAGTGGTTGTTAAGTTACAAAAAACTAATAAAACCTAGCACAAAGGTGCCCAATTTCTGTGTACCTCCACCCCAGGACTTGGAATGCCACCCTCCTATTTTTAACAAAATTACTCAAAAATATGTCTCATGCTCTGACAGATTCAGTCTCTGTGGGTTGAAACAGTCCCCTGGGAGATAAGATAGATGGGATACCCACAGAGCTATATTTCAAGCCATTCCATCCAAAGTCCACCACGAAGGCATCAACATACCTTCCTGCTCCTCTGAGGAGTGTTAAGAATGATTCTTTTGTTGTCTGGTGCCCAGCAAAGGAGCGGTACTGCTCCTGAGTAAATCCCAAAGAAACCTGAAAGGGACGCGCATCAGATTTTGTGAGACTTCTGGTAAAAATATGGACAAAATCAGGACCTTTGGGAGAAAACAAGAAGTGAAGGATAACCACCCCTCCTCCCCCAAAATGATTTGGGAAGAATGGTATTTGTGAAGGTATTTTCATTTTCAAAATGTCCACTAGAAAAGCAAACTTCAGTGTTTCTCCGTGTGGAAACAGAAGCTAGGAGGTGAAAGGTATGTGGTAAGCAGAGGGAGTGCAAAATGCAACCTTACTTTTTCATGTTCAGTTTCTAAAAGTAGGACTTACCAGCTGTGGGAGTCTGGACTACCTCCACCACTGTAGATACACACTTTGTTTGCCAATTGAGCTAGACAGAAGAATGGAGACTGCTCAGGCAGAGGGACAGCCATATTAGATGGTTGAAGCAAAAATGAAGAATATCATGACAAGTTAAAAACAAATAGGTTTTATTGTTTACACTATTATCTGATGAAGCAGGATGCAGGCCATGAAAGCTTTAAGTGCTCCTATGTTCTTACAGAATGTCTCCTAATCCTCAGATATCATCTTTGTCAATGCAATCACACACTTGGTATCTAAAGGAACAGGACTTCTGTTCTAACTGTTTCTCCAATTACTTCAGCCATCTGGATCTTCGTTTTAGGTGTCTTCTACCTTTCCTCCCTTTTTCTGGGATGCACTTTCCTCTATACGTTTTGAGGATGAGGTTTTTACACTCCTTACAGAGAGGGGGACACCAAGGACTCCCCCCCAATACAGTGGTGCCTCGCTTAGCGATCACTCTGTTGAGCGATGAAATCGCTTAGCGATGGGGTTTTGGCCATCGCCAGAGCGATCGCTTAGCGATAGCCCCTATGGGGAAAATCGCTTTGCGATGATCGTGGGGAAGTGATCACCGCAAAGCCCCCATTTTCAGCCAGCTGATCGGTGGTTTCAAAATGGCCGCCGGAAAACAAAATGGCCGCCCGCTGTGTTGCCTCGCTTTAGAGGCACCAAAAATGGCAGCCGCAATGGAGGATCTTCGCATAAGGTTAGTTTTAAAGCCCATAGGAACGCATTAAACAAGTTTTAATGCGTTTCTATGGGCTTTTAAAAATCGCTTAGCGACGGTTTTTCTGGAACGGATTAACGTTGCTAAACAAGGCACCACTGTACTTATTTTCTCATTTCCCCACTCTAAGGACTGAGAGAAAAGATAGTGAAAATCAAAAGGCAGAGGAAAGTTTGATTACTATGTATAAGGTGAAAGGGCAGGCTATTGCGTTCCTCAGCTTTCATGGGCAAGAGGAGAGAAAATCCTCTTGGGGTCACTCACCATCTGTAGTTTCAGGCACTGGTGATGAGGCCCAAATACCGGGCCCTCCAAATATATCAGGTATGTTCCATCAGGGCTGAGTCGAGGAGAAGAAACAGCTTGGTAATCTGAAGACAGTCGCTCTGAAACCACAATTGCAATGCAGACTAGAGAGAAAAGCTTTGTCAAAATGGAGTTACAAATGTGATGATTGTGACAGCTCCTTAATATCATAAAAGCAATTAGCTTAGGCCAAATTATGAGATTAAGAGACCATGAACGGGTGGTAGTCATCTGAATTTACATTCAAAAAGCCCCCAAAACTATTCTCACAGGGCTTCTTCTGACATGTTTCCATGGTTATATTTTGAAAATATAAATCATACAGAAAAGGAGCAATGTTGTGGCTGAAAAATCTACACATATCTTTGGAATGCCTAAAAAGCTTGAGAAAGTTCAACAGCTTTTGCAAGCTATCTAATATTTATAGCTGACTTTTCAGGCAACCTGCTTAGGCATTTTCAGCTTTCTTTCCAAAAGAAAAGCTAACATTCAGAAATGGGCCATGCAAGGCTGAAGAATCTCACAGGGTTCCCAAAGCTGCACAGGGGAAAGAATCTGGCTGGCATTGTCTCTCCTCCTTGGCAGTACCAGAACAGGAAAAACTGTATCAACTAGACATGGGGAGGAATACAAAAATGGATCACGATATTCATGAGAAATCGGTGATTAGTTAAATATTCGGCTCTTCATATTCATCAGTTCCAGAGACCCCGAGGAATATGAAGAGATGAATATTGCCCCATTTTCATTCATCCCACACAGGAAGAGAGGGAAGGCTAGCCTAAGAGACTGCCAATCAGTTGATCAGTGGGCCGATGACCTGTTTCTCTGAAAATAAGACCTAACCTGAAAAATAGTATGATTTTTCAGGATGCTCGTAATATAAGCCCTACTCCCAAATTAAGCCCCAGTTAGGTGAAATCTTGCCCTCCACCACTATGCAACAACCGAAAGAAGATGACATGACTGTAAAATAAAACCCACTATGCAGCAACCAAAAGAAGATGACATGACTGTAAAATAAAACTTCCCCTGAAAATAAGCCATAATGTTTTTTGGAGCAAAAATTAATATAAGATCCTGTCTTATTTTTGGGGAAACACAGTAGGCAGCCACCTACCCCCACAGCCTATTCCCCCCTCCTCTCCCTATCTTAGCCGCTGCCACCATCCAGTGCCGCCGCTGCGGTCTCTAGCTGGTCTCCGCAGCCACTGCCTGCAGTAAGGGACACTGGCTGCCCTTTGCAATGATGGCGGTTGTAGCTTCCCTATCCTAAAAGAAGGGTATCCAGTGCCATCTTTGAAAAGGGCAACCAGCGTCCCTTACTGCAGGCCGTGATTGCGGAGGCCAGCTGGAGACCACGGTGGTGGCAGCAATTACAGTGGAGGGGGACATGGGGGTCAGGGTTTTCCCCCCCATCTAACCCCCCGCAATGAATCAACAAATAAATTCGTGCTTTATCAGTTCACGGGGGGAGCTTCATGCTTCGTCAGCTTTGACGGGGGACGTGGGGGTCAGGGTTTTTTCCCCCATCTAACCCCCCCCTAATGAATCAACAAATAAATTTGTGCTTTATCAGTTCATGGGGAGAGTTTCATGCTTCGTCAACTTTGATGGATCACAAAACAGGACTCGCCAAAATGGTGAGTCGTCCCCATCTCTAGTATCAACTAACGCTTTCTTCCTACTAGAGACACAGGATGTCTATCCTGTATTTGAATGTGTCTGGCCTTAAAAACTATGAAAGGCAGAAATTCCACTTTGGATTCACTAAAAATGCGCATAAACAGACACACAGAGGAAACTTTTAGAGGAATGCTACTGCATAGGGCAATGGTTCCCAACTGTGAGCCCTCAGATGTTCTTGGTCTACAACTCCCAGGAAACCCAGCCAGCACAGCTAGAAGTGAAGGCTTCTGGGGGTTTTAATCCAAGAACATCTGGGGACCCAAGGCTGGGAACAACTGGCACAGAGGGACAGGCTATAAGGCAACCTTGGAGGTGACTTACCACAGCTGTGTTCAGAGAGATCCAAGAGAAATAGGGCTGATCTGTAGCAAGGAGAGGGGAATAATGAGAGGTCTCCAAACAGTAAATATGTTATTTCCCTCAACCACCACCTTCCACATCATGACTACTCTATGGGGTCATTTTTCACACATCATACTTTACAGAAAGCACAGCTGAGGATTGGGGAGACCTGCAACTTCCTCCCTTCACTCTTTTACGGAAATCTTCAGGATTTATGTTTACATTCTAAGCAACAAGCTGCCTGAAGGAAGCTGTGGAAGGTTCCCTCAGGGAGAGGTTGGGCTGGCCCCTGCTGGCAGTCCTTGGATCATAGCATCATAGAAAAGTGAAGCTGGAAGCGGCCTACAAGGCCATCAAGTCCAACCCCCAGCTCAACGCAGGAATACAAACCAAAAGGTATCTGGCAGGTGATTATCTAAATTTCTCTTGAATGCCTCCAGTGTTGGAGCACTCGCCAACTCCTGAGGTAATTGGTCCCATTGTCGTACTGCTCTAACAGTTAGGCCATTTTTACTGATATTCAACCGAAATCTGGCTTCCTTTAACTCGAGCCCTGTCCTAGCAAAGGCAGGGCAGGCGCTGGACTCTTTCCTATCAAGTTCCTTCCTGGTAAGTCACTTAGAGAAATTTGAATTTGAAGAACTATCACTGAACTAACAGAATGAGATCTCACTAGATTTCAGGATAGCCGCCTAGAGTGCTCGTTCTGAGCAGTGAGGTCTCACTAGATTTCAGGATACAGATGTTCTTAATTCCATCTGTAGAACTGACTGAAAATTAACTCTCAGATTTTTCCTTCAGGCACTCATTGTTCCTAGGCTCTCTAAGCAGTATGAGAACAAGACCAAGGGTCAGTGTGGGGTTTTCTCCCCCCTCCATCTAATGGGCCCTCTAAGAAGCCCTCTAACCTTCTGTTGGAGCAAGCGTTCAATCCCAGTCTGAAAGGCTCATGCCACCAGCCAACGAACACTATACTCTTGTCATCTGGGGACCACAAGGCCTGGCCAAGGAAACAAAGTTAACGTATTAACCAGTGGCACTGCAGTGTGCTGTTGTGCACGTCTCCATGATCTCCCCATATGGTCTGCAGAATATTGTTACAGTGAATGAGCTTCCTCAACAAAGTACTCATTGGGAGCCACTCCAGACGTTGAGGCTGCAGTCTGGCAGCACTTCCCCAAACACTGTCTTAATATAGACCACTTCCTACAGAGGCACTTGCTAGCATACACCATGGAAGGGATGTACATATCTACCTATGCAGCTGCTGAAGGGAAAAGAGTGTGGGACTGGGGAAAAAAACTACAAATAAACAAATGGCATTTTGCTGAATTCCAGTTTGTTTGTTTGCGAGGAGTGAAAGCTGGAATCCTCCTCCCATCAGAAGAGAAGAGGCCCCCATCAGTAGATCTGATGGTTCTGTACAGAGCCTCATGGCACAATGGTTAAATTGCAGAATTGCAGCCAAACTCTGCTCATGACCCGGATTCAATCCCAGGCAGCTGGCTCAAGGTTCACTCAGCCTTCTATCCTTCTGCAGTCATTAAACTAAGTATACAGCTTGCTGGAGGGGGGGGGACAATGTGTAGCCTGTATGACTAAATTCTAAACCACCCCAGAGAGTGCGAGTACACAGCTTGCTGGAGGGGGGGGCAATGTGTAGCCTGTACGACTAAATTCTAAACCACCCCAGAGAGTGCTTTAAGCACTGTGAGGTAGTCTATAAGCAGCATGCTTTGCTTTTACTTGATTGGGACTCTGTACTGGAGAGATGGGGATGTTCCTGGGCTCTGGATTCCAACATAGTTAGAAATTGTGACCGTGACTACTGGGATCAAAAGTAATGTAAGTCCCTAAGTCTTGAGAACTCTTGAAAGAGAACAAAAGAGATAGTTAAGTGCCCTTTGTCATCCTTTTTGGTTGCAAAAGACATTGCTTTCTTCTTCTCTTAAGTTTTGATAAGGACATCTTCAAAATCATCCTCAATTAACAAATGTAATACGAACAGTTGCCAAGTTATACCATCAGCTTTCCAGTGGGTCTACTACGCAAAAGTGCTTCATGACCAGAAGTGCAGCAGTAGATTGGGCTGCATAGGTAACAACATTTCTGTGTTGCATCTGCAATATGCCCATAAGATTTTTACAGCTTGATTAAGGCTTTCTGCACATTGTAATCTCTGAGATCCAAGGCTCCCCAATATATATTCTCTCCATCCATTGTTTCATAAGCAAAACACATTCAGTAATTCATGACCAGAATAATTTCTTCTTCCCAGTTGTTCCTCTGTTACTCTGAAACCCTTTTGAGGTCTATCAGGATGCACTGAGCTCCTATTAACTCCCTACATGGCACTGGACTCACCTGCCCGGGGGAAATGTGCCCTGGGATGCCCTCTAGGACTGAAACTTCACCGGTTTCAAGGTTCAGCACACACAGGACAGGAACGCTCTTATCGCCTAGTGCCTCTCCCCAATTATCATAGTACATGAACTTCTCTTCCTAAGGGAGGGAAAAACATACACAAAAGTATTGTGGAGAGTTCTGGCTTGGGTTTCTGCATGCTTGAAGGTGAGGCGGGGAGGTGAGGACAGGTACTGGGGCCTCCTGGCCATGTGCTCCTACGAGAGCCGACGGCACTCCACCTGCCAGGAAACTGAGGGATGAGAGGCCATGCACCTTGCTTCCAAAACTTGCCTGTATCTCTATTCTAAATGATTTTTTTGAACCTGTATTCACAGGCACAATACAGTTGCTGAATTATTTCAGCACCATTTCCATTGGGCTTTCAGCTATCCACAAGTACACGAAAATATTCACTGTAAATTGGCCTTGAGGGTGACATGACTAATGCTGTGCTATTTAGGGCCTCAGTGGAGTCAATACTGAGGATGTAAATATTTCTATGTCTTGCAACTGTTCCTACTGAGAGTATCAGGACCTATTTATTCATTGTGTACAGAGTGTACATAACGCAAGCTGGGTTTGTACCTTTACAGAGGCACACGGGGAACAACAACACAACACGGTGCTGCTTGAAAAACTGGATCTTTGAACTTTGCTGGCAAGCACTGCATGCACTGAATTTACTCCAGAAAACCACAAGTTATTTTAAACTTGTGCCCCTTAATTAAAGGGACAGAATGTTTCAAAACCACATTTTAGCAAGGCATGCTACTAGACTTTATGGAAATGACCTAATTTTGCTTGTTCAGTATTTTATTAACGCCTTGTGCATTTACTATAGAAGAAACAAAACTACTTGAGTTGTTTTGCTCTTGATAAATATGGGTTGCCTATGAAGTATGGCCTGCTTTGTGTGAAGGTTAGCAAGATAAAGATTTGCAAGCACTGGAAACAAAACATTATTTGAATGGTAAATAATAAAGGGGATACCCTTCCTGCTTCATTTGGCTTCTCTCCTTTGGCAGATCTGTCCTGAGGGAAAAGTACCTGTGTTGTGAGGCATCTTCTCTCAGCAACATACAGGATCTGTGTTTCTGAGCTGGACCAGGAAAAACAGCCAAATTGCTCTGGGGATACAAAGCAGATAGGAAAATATCACTGTTGAGTTATAAATGTCTTCAGCATGTGACTACATTTATTCTTCTTTAAAGTAACCTTTTGAGCTCTAGAAAATAGGTAACAATGACTCTGCTGAGGTTGACTCACTGTCTTCAAAAGAGAATGCAAATGGGATCAAATTCAGTGTTTGGTTAACTCCGTGCTAACCATGCAATTATGGGTCTGTCTGACCAACTGATTTATTTTCCATAAAGGCACTGACAAGAATTAACATTTATTGAGTAGAAACAACAGCTCCTGCTGTTGTAAAATACTGTAGTGGCTGATTTGTTTGTTTTTGAGATAATATACTATTGGCGACTAATGGGTTACTACCGATAAACCACTTTTCAGTACTCTGTACCTAGAAAATCCTGGGAGAGGTCACTGTAAGTTGGAATGAATTTGACAGCAAATACGTATGACTATTATTAACTGCTGTGCAATTTTCAGGCTAAGATGTGCTTATGGAATAAGGAGAACTAACTCTGCCTTAGAAGGAAGACAACCTACTGTGTTTCTGGGCCACAAAAGAATTCATTTTTGCCTCAAACCTAAGCTCACCCTTGGTGCAGGTGCTTCGTGCTTACAATATAAAAAGCTCAGAGTTTCCAATGGAAAACCAGACTATGCCATGGTGGTCTGCAAGCAGGATACATATTTAAATTTAAACATGGCCTCATTTACCCTAGAGTGTTTGCACAACCAGAAAAATGCAAAGAGGGAGTCAATATGTAATATGTGTATTGCACCACAAGACTAAGTCCAGACAAGACTAGTGGTGTAATTACTTCCTTCTTTATTCAGAAAGTAAGCCTCATTTTGTTAACCAGGAAATATGTCCACTAGATTGTAACTGGAAGATTATAATTCGGATTGTAGGTGGAAGGCTATGGGTTGCAGCCTTAAAAACATGGTTTGAATTGTCAACCGTGGGGCTCTGTAATTGAAAAGTTTGTCTTGCTGTGCCACAGGACCACCGTCCAGCACTGTTAATGAGATCTGAAAACTTGGGGAGCCCTTGGAGCTCCGGATTACAGGGGCAGTGAGGGAAATCTTTACAACCACCATCTGCATAAGTCTGAAGGAACAAAGAGATAAGCAGGAAACATTGGGCCACTAGCGTAATTTTTTTACACCAAGGAGACATTGTTAGCATGATGAAGAACAACGATCCTATCAAGGGCTAGGCTGGTTGAGACCAAAACAATGCCTAATGTTCTGCCAGCAAAAAACAGCATGCCACAAAGCTTCTGGTTACTGTTCTTACCATCCGTATATACTCTGCCATGTTTATCCAGAGCGGTGAGGTTGATATTTTTCACCCTTCCAATGTGGCTCCAGACCTGCTGGGATACAGAAATCAGTGCCAGCACTATGAACACTTTGTATTCAAAACCTTGGGGGGGTCATGGCTCCGTTCAAATCCACTTGATAATACAGTATATTACTCTTATTATCATTTGCACACACCAGTCTGGATCTGGATCACGGGCACACACTCGTGGTTAAAACAAGAGCATATCAACCTGCTTTTTTGTGCTTATGCACTTTGCCCCTAAGATTCCAGCTGGTCTCTTTGAGAGAACAATTGCAATTAGTGCTTGGCCAGACATGAACCAGGGAAAGCTACTGGAAAAAAGACTTTGCTTGTAACCTTCCATATATGTTTAACCCTACTCATGCATGTTCTCTACAGGTAGGTTTCCTAGACTCCAACACCTTGTTGTACTTCACACTGAAGAAAAGCTAACAAGTTCTTGCCCTACACCATAAAGTCTGCTGTAACCAGCTTTGACTATTGCAGAAATACTCGTCGTCCCAGGTTTCCTAGACTCCAACACCTTGTCTAAGTTGTTGTACTTCACACTGAAGAAAAGCTAACAAGTTCTTGCCCTACACCATAAAGTCTGCTGTAACCAGCTTTGACTATTGCAGAAATACTACTGTATCTAAATCATCATTACAGTGTGCAGTGACTGTAGCTCTAGTCCAGTACTACTGTATCTAAATCATCGTTTGAGTGTGCAGTGACTGTAGCTCTAGTCCAGTGTTGTGTGAGGATGGCAGAAATCACAAACTGGATCACCTAGAATATATCCACTTTGCTGTAACTTATAGCTCAGTGAGTTGGGGACCTGGTCACGGAGCCACAGGTTGGTAGTTCAATTCCCTACTACGTCTCCTAGGAGAAGGTCCAGCCTGTATAGCACTGGACAAGCTGAACAGTCCCAGAGCATCTCCAGAAAAAGGGAATAGTAAACCACTTGAGTACTAAAAAAACTTAGAAAGAATTGCCAGAAGTTGGAATCTGCCTGAAGCACATAACAATAATAGTTATACTATTTTACCTCCAGCACCTCTTGTCTCTGTCCCTTTTCCAAGTGGTAGGTGAAAACAGCCTTATGCCTCCCGGAAGGTGACATTCTGACAAGCAGCCTGTGGCACAAGAGAGAGAATGGGACACTGTGAACACAGGAATCAGCCTTAGAGCATTTTAGCATAGAATGACAGGGCAAAAAAAAAAAAAATCCCTTTACAACTCACTTAGGCACAAGAGAGAGAATAGGACACTGTGAACACAGGAATCAGCCTTAGAGCATTTTAGCACAGCACCAGAACGACAGGGCAAAAAAAAAAATCCCTTTACAACTCACTTAGTGATTAAAAACATTCTAACCTTGGAAAGGGTTGCCGCTCAAGCAAGAGATCATGCACAATGCACAGTTCTGTGATCTCCAACATCTCTTAAAGAGTTGAGGTTTCACAGAAAAGCTCTTACGGTAGTCGGTGATCACTGACCTTATGATGCCTGCAGGAGAGTATCACTTCATCACTGTGGGGTGAGGGGTCCAGCTGCTCAGACCACGGGCCATCCTTGACTGGCACCCTTATAAATTAGTGCCAGTTACACTGCTCTAATACAACATACAACTATGCATGCGTTAAGGGAAAATATGTTATCTCAAAGCATCTCTTTAATATGGTCCACCCGTTCTGTCTCATTCATTCAGGAAAACTGTTTGCTCTGCGCTCTGTTCTATCCTGCACAAACTTACATCCAAACCATGATTGGCTTGAACTTCTAAAACACAATTACTCATGCCAGGGCAAGTGGATGTTCCACGTACTGGTCTCGGATCTCAGCTGCCACACCAACAGGAGTAACTGAGACAACTGCAGTGCCATCATGATGCAGGATATACTGGCGACTGAACCACAGCTGCTGATGGCACCTCAGATCAGGCTGGCACCACTCTGCAGGAAGATAAAGTGTAGAGTATAACCCAGTTTGTCTGAGCCTGAGACACTTCCAGCCCGGGGTATAATACAATACTTCTGTATGCCAAAAAACTGACTGATAAAGCTATACGTGGAAATGTGGGAAAGGCTCAAAGCCCAGAAAACCAACAAGACAGATTAAAGGTATATGAATAATTTTGGAAATAGGAGCTGATTGTAGCACTATGGAGAGATGATGATCTGGGAAGAAGTTGACTGGTAGAATTACATGAGGGATGGCAGTAAACTGTATGAGAGGTAGTACATCCCCATATTTAGGCTGTAGCGTACTAGAAATGGCTTAACTTTCAAGTGGGCATGCGCAGGATTGGGTAGCTTGGGTAGATATCTGAGAGGCTAGACTCTTCACTTTCACTGACAACAGGACAAAGCACCCAAACTGTAAATATAATCTAAGTGGGAAGCTTCACGTCTCTCTCTGTGTTGGGGAAAGCTGACAGTTACCTTTTAAAAATAGTTTTAAGAGGACTTGAGCACTGACTAAGGGAATTCAAATGCATGAAGAGTAGACTTCACACACAATACTTTAATAAAAAAATTGTTTTTCGTGCTACTAATTTGTTTCCTGTTGAGCTGAAATCTGTAGAGTTCAGCTCCATACAGCAGGTTAACTTTTGATCACTTAGCAGTTACAACATTTGAAAATGATGTAATGTATCCGTAAGGAGGGAGTTTCCAAGGACAAAGAAGTATTTGCCCTGTTTATTGATGTAGATAAGCAGAAGGAAAAACAGAGAAGGAAATTAAGACTCTTGCATGGTGCTGCAAGATGACCTGATACAACCAGATCAGGTAATTCCCAATAACTTATAGTTTAATAATGGCCCAAATCTTGTTGCTTAGCATTAGAGTAGACCCCCTGAATCAACAGGAATTTAGAACCTCAACTTCTGTCTAAGTTAGACTGATTCAACAGGCTTATCCTAACTGCAACTTACTATGCTTACTATACAGTACTAAGCTCATTTGAATCAATGGAATTTGTAGAGAAGCTGACTCATCAAATTCCTATGAATCAATGAGCCTACTCTAAAGTGATTTACTGTGCTAGGAAACAGGATTTGGCTTAAAAATGGTAGGCATCTACTCCATTGGTTGTATTTCTCCCAGGGCATGATCTTCCCATATATGGAAAATGCACCTGTCAAATTGTGGACTACAAACATAGACAGTTACTCTCTCTTTAAACTTTTATACTGTAATCCTATATGTGCTTGTTCAAACAAGTGCCTCCTTGTAAATAAATAGGTATAGGATGGCAGCCTGAATCTTTTTAAACATTTATTAAGCATTTTAAATATTTGTTAGCAATATTCTCTCTCTTTCCTGTTCAGTCTAAGTCATTTAAACTGTCATATTCTTCTTAGTCAAGTTCTTGACCTGTCCCTTTCTAAAGTATAATTAATAATTTAATATTTTGTTAGCTCCTGAGCAATACTAACTAATCTTCTGAGTCCAAGTTTAATTTTTGCATGGTAACGCCATATAAAAACACATTACAGTGGTGCCTCGCTTAACGAGGAAATCGCTTGACAATTAGGTTTTTGCGATCGCAAAACAATGATTTAAATGGGAAAAATCCACTTCACAATGTTCGGTTCCCTGCCTCAGGAACCGATTTTCACATTACGATGATCTAAAACAGCTGATTGTCAGGTTTCAAAATGGCCGCCGGATGTACAAAATGGCCCCCCGCAGTTTTCTAGGACGGATTCCTCGCTTTGCAGGCAGCGAAAATGGCTGCCCCTATGGAGGATCTTCGCTGGACGGTGAGTTTTCAGCCCATTGGAACGCATTGAAGGGTTTTCAATGCGTTTCAATGGGCTTTTTTATTTCGCTTAACAAGGATTTCGTTCTACATCGATTTCGCTAGAACGGATTATCCTCATTAAGCGAGGCACCACTGTATCTTCCTCAAGCATTTGAAAACCTGTAGATTAAACATAGAAGGCAGCATTCTACTCGGATCCCTACATCATCACTGCTACGGTTGCATGAAAAGCAACCGATCTAAAGTATGTTGCTCTACCATGGAATTGCTCTCTGTGAGCCAAAATCTGAATCGTCCATGTTTTGGTTCACATGGAGAGCCATGATATTCTGGCTCAGGTGAACCTAGAAAGTTAGACACTATGTATTAAACACCTCAAATATTAGAAACAAGTAATTTTTTATTAACTTAGGGTGGCAGGGGAGGAGAAAGCTATGGAAAGAGACCATGTCAACTGCTGGGGCACTCTTGTTTAACACCCAGGCCATTGGGGTCCCTCAGGGTTTTATTTTGTCCCCTATGCTATTTAATATGAATCCACTGGGAGAGGTTTCTGGAGTTTAGGGGCTTGGTGTCACCAGTATGCTGATAACATCCAACTCTATCTCTCCTTTCCATCTAAATCCCAGGAAAATGTTTCAGTTCTAAATCAGTGTCTGGTGTCAGTAATGGACTGGATGAGGATGAATAAACTGAAACTTAATCCAGATAAGACAGAAATGCTCCTGATCAGTGGAAAAACAGATCAAGGAATAGGGTGGCAGGCTCTGCTGAGGGGTGCTCCTGGATTCATCCCTGTGCCTGAATGCCCAGGTTGTGGCGGTTGCCAGGAGCGCCTTTGCAGTTAAAACTAGTGCGCCAGCTGCACCTGCTTCTTGAGAGGTCTGATTTGGCCATAGGGACACAAGCCCTAGTTATATCTCAGCTGGATTACTATAAACATGAGCCTAGTGGCACAGTGGTTAAAACGCATTACTATAATGCACTCTATGTGGGACATCCTTTGGAAAGTGTTTGGAAACTTCAGAGGATCCAAAATGCTGCAGCCAGATTGCTAACTGAGGCTGGTTACAGGGAACATATAACTCCCCTGTTACAGCAGCTCCAATTCGTTTCTGGGCACAATTCAAAGTGCTGGTATTAAACTAAAAGCCTTAAACGGCTTGGTTCCAAGCTATCTAAAGACTGCATCTACCACTACGAGCCTGCCCAGGCTTTAAGATAATCAGGAGAGGCCTTTCTCTCAGTTCCACCACCTTCACAGGTGTGCTTGGTGGGGACATGGGACATGAGAAGGCTGGTTACAGGGAACATATAACTCCCCTGTTACAGCAGCTCCAATTTGTTTCTGGGCACAATTCAAAGTGCTGGTATTAAACTAAAAGCCTTAAACAGCTTGGTTCCAAGCTATCTAAAGACTGCATCTCCTGCTATGAGCCTGCCCAGGCTAAGATAATCAGGAGAGGCCTTTCTCTCTATCCCACTATCCTCACAGGAACCCTCACAGGCATCCGGGAGAGGGCCTTCTCTGTTGCTGCTTCCAGACTCTGGAACCCCTTCCTACAGGAGGCAGGGTTGGCCCCATCTTTGATGTCCTTCTGCAAGCAGGCAAAAGCCTGTCCTGTCAAGCAGGCTTTTTCTTATTGGATGGTGTTCTGAGAGGGTTTTTAAAATGGGCTGTTGTGCTCTGTTAAACTGTTGTTTTAAATATGTTTTAGAATTGATTTTATTGACCATTTTAATAAAATACTACTTTAATTCTTTCTTAGCATTTAGTTATTTGTATACTTACTGTTTTAGCTTTTAAATATTGTCTTTTAAATTATGTAAGCTGCCCTGGGTCATTTTTAAGGACAAAGGCAGGATAAAAACATTTTAAATAAAATAAATAAACACGGAGCAAAGCAGTAAACCACCTGCACAACTCCAAAGCTTTATATCTCAGATAGGTAGCCAAAAGAACCCTTCGTCATTCCAATGAGATGCAGTCCCATTCAACATTTCTAAATCTTTTGCTTGGCAATTACTGAAGTGGGATCTTCACCTTTTACTTAGCAAATTAAACAGTGTAATACTAATGTCCTGTATTAGGCCTAGCTGTCTATTTTCCAGAGCAGTCTTATCCTGGCTGCCAGCTTGTTTGCAAATCATATTGCACATATATAAACATCCTTATTTTGTTTGTGACTCTTTCTTTTCTTTTTTTGCTTTTTAATAAACCGTTGGAAGTATTCTGAAGGCAGGATGGGAGGAGAAACCACACAATGATCACTGGGCCAACCCATCATCTCAACTTTGCTCACACAATCCTTTATCCCTAAGAGACACCACACAGGAAGAAGGAAAAGGGGGGAAAGCCTGCATGCCACCAGCTCACCCGTGTAAAGAGGCAGGCATTTGGCAGCGCCACGTGCAGCAAATCCAGCTCCTACACTGGCATAAACTGCAGAGGGAAACTGGCTCAGCTTCTGGTACAGGGCATCGATTCGGCCTAAGCACCCTGGCAGCTGGAAAAGAGGAGAGGCAGATTTCACGGCGCTCTGTGACACGAGCAGCAACTAATTGGAGGGGGAGACATGGGGCACTTTCCTTAACCACCCCGCAACTGAGTCGCCACCAGCTTCCTCCCGCCAACACCCTTCCCAAATCCTCCTCAGGCCGCCTCAAAGCTGTCCCACCGCATCTCTTCCGTGGTGCAGCCTAGAAGCCATGACGAGGCCTTCCCCACAAAAGTTCCTCCAAAGTAGCCACGGAAGCTTCTCCAAGCAGCCGCAGGGCTCGCACGGAGTCTGCCCGTCCGCCTCCAGGAAGGTCAGGCCCGGACTAAGCGAAGCGAGACGGAAGCGGACAACAACTGCCCGCCTTGGCTGGGCCGGCGGAGAAAGGGAATCCCAAACCCCACGCACGCAAACCCACCCCCGCTTCCCGATTGCTGTGCCTTCCCTCCGCTCCCTTCCTGTTTTCGCAGGGCTTATAAGGGTTTTCTCCTCCCTTCAAACGCCACCCCCCCTCCGTTTGGAGGCCTTTCTAAAAATAAGAATTTACCGAACTCCTCAGTGGGGAAGCTTTGCTGACGAGTTTTCCTATGGTGGTTTTTTTTAAAAACTTAATCTATAACCGGAGGAAAGCGAAATTTGTTTACTTTCACCTTAACCTACTTCACACGGCCCTTCTTAAAAATAAAGTGCAAAGGGACCATACCTACTGCTATGTTAAAACTATGGTATATTCATAAATTCAGGAAGGAAAATAGTGAAGGGGTCTCCTCAAGGAATATGGCAATATTGGAAAAACGAAGACTCCTGAAGCTAAACAAGTGGTTTCATAGACCTAGCAGGATTATTAATATCAGTGTGTCCTCAAGCCAATTCTGGTTTATGGTGATCATTTTCATGGATTTCTAGCTAGAGAATATTCAGAACTGGTTTGTCATTCCCTTTTTCCTGGGGTGCCCTGGGACAGTAGGGAATTGAACTCCTAGCCCTAAATCACTGAGCAATCAGGCAACAACAGGATGATTAATCTGTAGAACAAATCTGCTTCCAATGCTTCCAGTACAGACTTCCCTTTCCTTTTACCAACCCACCATTGACCCATTTTTCCATAATCCTCCAAAGTGACCTTACCTCATGCTTATTCATACCATGGTTGTCCCTTCTTCCTTCTATAATCCAAGCCTTAAAATTGTCATCCAGCAATGGAAAATGTTGTAATTTGAACGTTGTAATATTTCATTTGGGTATGGTTAGACAGACTTTCCAGTATACAAAGCCTTTCAAATTTGTTCAAGAAGCAACAATCTAATGGAGCTCAGTTTAAGTATAATTGTGGTGCTGCTCTTTCCTCTGGTTGTCCACAATTGCAGCTGCTAGGAGCAGTGGAGACTCTAGGCACGATGAAAGGTGCCCAGCTTCTTCATCCCGTTTGGCAATCTTAACTGTTGGAATGACATCTTCTGTCTGTATAACCCCAATCCATGATCTGCATTCTAGTCGTTCTGAGACTGGAGTTCGTTTTGCATTTTAATTCATAGAATCATAGAATAATGATGTTGGAAAAGGCCTATAAGGCCATTGAGTCCAGCCCAGGAATCCAAATCAAAGTAGATCTGAGAGATGGTTATCTTATTTTCTCCTGAATGTTTCCAGCTAGGCCAGATTTCAGTTGAATATAAGGAAAAACTTATTAACTATTAGACCGGTAAGACAATGGAACCAATTACTTCAGGAAGCCCAGGAATCCAAATCAAAGTAGATCTGAGAGACGGTTGTCTTATTTTCTCCTGAATGTTTCCAGCTAGGCCAGATTTCAGTTGAATATAAGGAAAAACTTATTAACTATTAGACCGGTAAGACAATGGAACCAATTACTTCAGGAAGTGGTGAGCGCTCCAAAGCCAGAGACAAAGAAAATTAGATAAACATCTGTCTCATATATTATTATTTGGATTCCTGCATTGAGGTTGGGGATGGACTTAATGGCCTTATAAGACCCTTTCAACCCCATTATTCTATGATTGCCTTACTACTCTAACAGTTAAAACTTCTTTTCCAGATATCCAACCAACATCTGTCTTCTAGTAACTTGAGCTAGTAACATTCTTACATGTCCTGCACTATGGGCTGATAAAGAACAAACCCTTCCCCTCCTCTGTATGACAGTCTGTAAAGTACAGTGGTACCTCGACTTAAGAATTTAATCCGTATTGGGACTGCGTTCATAAGTTGAAAAGATCTTAAGTCGAAGCACACTTTCTCATAGGAATACATTGAAAACCGATCAACGAGGGAAGAAAAAGGGCAAAAAGGCAGGGGGAAAAGGCTGGAAATTTGAATTTCTCACCCTTTCCCCCTGCCTTTTTGCCTTCAGAGGTCTCAAAAGGCTTTCCCTCCAACATCGGAGGAAGCCCTTTGAGACCTCTGAAGGCAAAAAGGCAGGGGAAAAAGGTGGGAAATTTGAATTTTCTGCCCTTTTACCCTGCCTTTTTTGTTAGTAGGTGGAGGCTCCGTTCACAAGTCAATGCCAATTTTTGCGAACGGAGCCGTTCGCAACTAGGGACATTCTTAAGTTGAGGTACCACTGTACAGTATTTGAAAAATGCTATCATATCTCTCCACAGTCTTCCTTTCACAAGGCTAAACAGTTATTTCAGTCTTTTGTCATAGAGCTTTTTTCAAGTCCCCTGATCATCCTTGTTGCCCTCCTCTAAACTTGATCCAGTTTGTCATCATCCTTCTTAAAACATGACATTTAGAATTGGACAGTACTCTACTAGATGAGGCCTGACCAATGCTGAATAGAGGGGGACTAGTACCTTATGGGATTTGGAGACTATACTGTACTTCTGTTTATGCATCCAAAAATTGCATTTGCCTTTTTTTTGCAGCCACACCACATTCTTGATCTACAACAATTTCAAGATCCTTCTATCTTGTAGTATTACTGAGCCAATTTTCCCCTTCTTGTAACTGTGCATTTGATTCTTTTTATGACTGGTGTGTGTCTTCCAGGGTATTAGTTATCTTACCCAATTGCGTAATTCACAAATTCAGTAAGCATTCCCTGCATTTCCTCATTCAATTCATTAATAAAATTGTTGACAAGCACCTGGCCCAGGATTGAGCCTTGTGGTACCCCTCGTTACCTTCTCCCAGCTTGAGACAAAGCCATTGGTAAGCACCCTCTCAGTATAATTCTGTAACCCAGCGGTCCCCAACCTTTTTGGGAGCGCGGACCGGCTGAGCCTCTGAGGAAGGTGGAGGCTCTCCCGCAGGTGCGCACACGCTCTCTGGCACATGTGCGAAGCGGTGGGGGGAGCGCCTGCCCTCCCACCAGCACCAGCGTGAGCGCTTCCCTTCGCGCAGCCACTTGGGTGGATGGATGAAGGGGTGGGGGAGCCCTCACACCAGCACACACACAAAGCAGCTGTGGGGAGGGGAGTGTGTGCGTGTGGGGGCGGCAGGTCTGTCTTCGTGGCCCAGTACGGCTCAGGCCACGGACCAGCATTGGGCCTCGGACCAGGGGTTGACAACCTCTGCTGTAACCCACTGTGTATCTGACAATTGTTCTATCCATCCCACACTTAGCTTGCTAATCAGAATATCATGGGGCTTTTTGACGTCTTTTGTATTATTGTATTTTTTATTACAGTGAGCCATCTTGAGGCCTATTTTGGGGGTAATATGCCCTATTGATCAATTGTATATATTTATATAAATATAAATCCAATAATTAAACAATAACTATATAAGGGACTTTGGTTTTGTGTATTATTGCCCTTAGTTGCCCCAATTTAACAAGTCATAATTGTGTGCATTGCCCCTCAACATATTTCTACAGAATCAGAAAGATGAGTGCACGAGAGAGAGAACATGTGATTGGGCTTCATTGTTACAGCACTTTCATTTCAATCTATAGAGGTGATGAAGGATGCAATGAGGTTCATGCATTGCTGAAACACTACTAAAACATGAGAAGCCAGAAAATAACTGTAAAAAAAATTCAAGTTAAAATTCAGCTTGCTAGCCTTTGATAAGCCACAATCAGGTCACCACCAGAAGTGGTGAGGATAGAACATTTTAACTGGTTCTTGAGGTTGAAAGGCTCTTTAAAAACTCCTGCAAATTTAGATGATCAATCCCCCACATCTTCCCTTAAAGCAGGAATTCAAAACTTAATCAAGAGACCTTGAGCACTAGCTCTTGGTTCAATACATGCTGTTTTATTAGTCAACCAATTTTCCTTTCAAAATTATTTCTCAGTATACAGAAAGAGGTAGTTGTTTGAACTCCTACTTCACAATGAGATATAACTGCTGTGCAGCTCACTCATAAATTTTTTACTCAGAGGGAAAAGTGCCACTGTTAAAAATAGAGTTTACTCCCAGGAATGCCTATACAGGACTGTGACTTTAGTGGCATTTTCAGTGTCTATCAGGTAGTGTCAAAACAAGAAAGTGTGATCGTTTGTTGCCTGGATAATCCTTACCATGCTGTTGGTTACCACTAATGATAGCAAAGTTCATAGTCCAATAGGGTCAGGTTACAGAGTTCCTTGAAAAGGAAAACAAGCAGGATGGTACTCGAAATTGATTTCCTTGCAGGTCTCTGCTACTCAAGAGGAAGATAACCTCCTACTAGATATTAGCTGGTATGAAAATCAGTGCATCTGATCCCTACAATGCATAGGGAAACTATTCTGATGCCAGTCACTCTAGCTGATAAGCTAAACAAATTATCAGGTCAACACATGATTTTTCCATAGTCAAACTCTGTACATTATCTGCACCTCTGTACAAGACCTGCAACACATTATTATCATTTATGTGCTTGTGTTGTTTACTAATGCAAGACAGAAATTAAGTGGACCTAACAATAAAAAATATGTGTATTTTCTCAGAAAAGGGATGAATTGGGGGATATTTGACTAGCTAAAACTGATAACAGCAGTACGAACACTAAGATTACTGTGGCCAGCAGTAGTCTATCGTTTACCTCCTAAGAAAAACTACTAGGCACTATTGAACTACTAGTATTTTTTAGTTTCTAAATTCCTATTTTATCCAAATGGTGGATAACTGGTAGTGCTTGCTTCCATTCACTCAGATGGCAGGGAAAACAGTTATGAGTATGTGCAAGAGACTTTGTATGTAATATGACTTGTATGTAATGTACCTTTTTTTTGGCAGTAAAGTGGAGTACAAAGAAAAACAGTATCACCAAATTGGGATTTGGTAGAGGCCAAACAGGAAAGGTAAGTAAATTACCCAAATGGTCATTTGAAGCATTCCTATATGTTTGACTTTAAAGTAACAAACACACAACCATGATGCACTACTGAAATTGTTTGTCAATGTTCACTTTTCCCTTTAAGATACCACTAGCTCTTCCTTCCAAAAGAACAAAACAAAATATTTCCCAAAGAAGTTTGAATCTCAGCAGCTGATGAATGCCAGCCATTCACAGTTTACATACTTATACTTTGAAAATCTGTAGCTCAGAAGTTTGGTCCTTAACAATTGTTTCTATTTATTTACCCTTTGCAGTTGGACCTTTTGGAACTCACTGTTTCTTTGTTCTGCCCCCTCAAAGAATATTAACAAGAGAAATTCCATTGATATCAAAGAACATTACTTGTCAGGATACCCAGCATCCTATTCTGGGTCAGAATCACCTACAATGGCAGGATTACTTACAAGAGTGCAAGATTTGGCAAAAGGCATGGGCTCAGGGTAACTTCTGTCTCAGGAACCCAGAAGGCATATATTAGTCCCTGGCATGAACCTATTCAAACTCAGAGGAGCATGAAAGAAGGTCCCAAAGCAACCATTCCCAAAGTGATTTTTTTTAAAAGAACCAAGAGACATGTATTAGTATTAGCTAGCCAGGTTGCTTAACATGGAGGTGGGTCATAGAAAATGTAGCCCAACTTCTGCATTCCTCATTTTAGGTGCTGGAGAAACCAGAGTGCAATATTCATGAAACCGTCTGCCTCAGCTTCCACACCAGACAGTGCATGGTTATTTCCTGGATACCACAGCATCCTAGAAAGGGATACAGACAGAGACAGGCAAGAGTAGTTATATAACCATTGTTTGGTTTCTTGGCATCAATTCTGGCCAGAACTTCTGCCCAAGTATCATTGTCGTGATCCCATATAGTTTCAGGACCTTGCCCTCTATGAGAACTGTTGCCCTCTGTCCCCACGGAATACTTTTACAACTATTCTCAAGCTTGCCCAGCATGCTTACCGGGTTGGAACGCCCCTGGCCTTAAGAGCATGATAATACTCCAAGCCTTGCTTGGGAGGCACACGTTTATCCTCATCTCCTATCATTAAGAGAACAGGTGTCTGAACCTGAGGGGTAAAAGTGAAAGATAGAAAACCAAGACAGTTATGATCATTCCTGGAAAGTGAAGTAGGGAAAAAAGCATGTGGATACCAGGAGAGTGGCAGTGGGGGAAGGAAGGGGGTGTTATACCTTATCAAGATATTGCATAGGTGAATGAAGGAGCATCTCTGTCCAATGTCTGGGATCTGGGAGAGCAGCCTGGTCATAGAGTAAGCCTGCCTCGGTCAGACACCTAGAAGCAACAGAATAGTACAAACCACAATAAGTTTGGGTGTGGCTTGAAGGTGGAAGTGTAGCTGTTCAAGGTGGTTGAGTCACTCACCAGTCAGGGATGTCAGTGCTTGCAACCATGGAGGCCATGTTGACTACCGGATTCCTGGCCACACAAGCCTTATAAGTGCCAGGATATTGGCCAATGAGATGGCAAGACAGGAATCCACCATGGGAGCCACCCAGCAAGGTGACTCGCTGTGGATCCAGAGGCTCCTCCTGTAATACCTGCTCCACACAAAACTTAACAGGAAAGAAGAGGTTTGTGCAGCAGTTATAAGGTGGAAAAAAAAACAGGGCTGGAGCATCTTGGATGAAGCTCTTTATAATACAACTACCGAAGTCCATTTAACCATTTGGCAGCTTGCCTGGTACGGTCCTAAATGGGACCACACCATCTCTCTATATACTGTAAAGAGGGGAGGACAAAGGTGAACAACCCTGCTTAATTAAAAAAAATCTCACTCTTTACGTACAAAAGAAGCCTATTATGTGTCTCTTCTGAGCAAGTACAACCTCATGAGGATGGTATCATGTACGCATATTGTGGTGGGATGCTAAGGACTTAAATCCTTAGCATTCAACTGAATCTCCTTCTTCCCACCATGCTGTGCACCTACGCTCTTCCACCCAGTGGAGGGAGATACATTTCCCTTGCTGCTTTTGGGAATGGAAACATAAATGATGGCCCCCCTCTTACCTGTACATCTTTGACATCCTGGCTGCCTACATTCCCTGGCAGGGAATCCACACTGTCTTGGCCAAAGCCCAATGATCCTCGATAATTCACTAAGGAAGGGAAAACGTAATAGTTAGAGATCACGGCCAGTTCTTTATTATCTGAAGGCTACAGAGTTATTCTTCTGCTCAGCCCATGAAACAGCAGGGGGACATCTCCTCTAATAAGAGGATATCTGCGTAGGAAGCCGCAAATGTACTATCTACACCAGTGATCCACAACCTTTTTGACACCGCAGACCGGTTTAGTGTGCGTGTGTGTATGTGTATGTCTGTGCGTGTCGGTGTGTGCATGTGGGGGGCGTGCGTGTGTCCGTGCATGCGGGGGGCGAGATCTGTCTCCACGACCCGGTCCTGCCAAGGCCACCGAATGGTACCGGTCCATGGACTGGGGGTTGAGAACCCCTGATCTACACTGTACATAAGGCTGCTGCAGTATCAAAAATGCCAAAGACAGGTAGGAATAAGCAGGCAGCCCATGTGTTTTGAAGCAAAATTACCATTTTTAGAAAGGTAGCTATGCTTCTAGTGCTATTTGTCACCTTTCACTTTTCTTGCCTTTCCTTTGAGCAAGTGAAACAAGAAGCTAGACAGGAAAAAGAGTGCCGTTCTCCAGTCCTCAGGTGAAGACTTTTGGACCAGAAATGGAAGCCTGATAAATGCTGGTATGGCTAAAAATCCAGTGACTTCTAGATTCAGTGCCCCTAAATATTCTGGGATAAACTGAGACCCTAACAGCCCCTCAAGTGACTGAGAAAGACATAGAACACCACTCACCAAGCAGCACAGCAAATCCCATCCGACAAAGCGCCGCTGGGTAAAGCGTCCAGCTGGTGGTATACACTGAGTGCGGCCCCCCTGGCAGGGATGGAAGAAAGATGGAGTAACCCTGATATGAAGAGTATCAGAATGGCATCATGCTCCAAATCAGAATGGGATAATGATAAGATACTTACCGTGAGGTGAAACAACTAAGGGATATTTGCCACTCTCTGGTACCTGAGTGGGTCTGAGGAGAATGGATTCAAAATCAAGGCCCGCTGTGAAGACAGACCACCATTTACAGGTCATATAACAGACATACAACCTGCCTATCATAACTACAGTGCCCCAGATTCTTACTGTAGCCTCCAGCTCAGAACACAAAAGTTTGCCTGTTTCTGACTTGGCTGGGCACTCACCATACTGCAGGTTGTCCTGCTCTGGAGGAGGCTGCAGTTTACGGACTCCCCAAGTGATGCCTTCAACAGGGCTGGCTTCTTCCAAACATACCCAGCCCACCTCAGATTCCTTGCCAGCAGGAGGTAGGAAAGCCACCATCTGCAGAAAAAGATATTACTCAGTTGAAATAGAGAGGAAATCCAGCACCACAGGGGCAGGGCTATGCCAATTAGGGAGCCTGACTAGGAAAGATGCTCTAGAATCTCATTATCAGAGCATAAACCAATAAACTGCAACGTGTATCAGGGGACAGGGAAAGAAGAGAAGCTCAGAGGAAAACAAGGGACAACATTAACATTGCTAACAAGGCAGGGAAGTTCTAAAAGAGTACAGCCTCGTGCACACACAATCCCATCTCAACTGCAATGCGTGTTTCCTATGCCTGGTGTTTTAATCACCAGGCACTGCATTGCTGATTATCCTCATGTCTAAAGCCTCTCTTATTTCAGGGGGGTTTATGAAAAGTCCCTCACCACAGGCAACACCACACATCTCCTGGATTATGATGCCTCTTGGACAACATTTTGACTCATTCATATAATCAAGAAAAATCAGCTAACCCAGGAAAAGGAAGGCTCACCAGAATTTGCTGGACTGCAGCTCCTCCCACCCCTCCTTATTGGCTAGGCTGCCTAGAGCTGATGGGAGTCCAGTAAATTTGCAGGGCCAGATAATCTTCCTGCCTGAGTTCAGCAGAAAAAACAGGAGATTGCATGCTAGTCATAAGGCTTGCTCAGCCACACCCAAATGAATCTGACCAACTATGAAAAGAGAATTTTCTAAGTCAAAGCTAATAGTGCCTTGTCTGGTTAATTCAGTACAGATCAGTTTCTTAGTGGAAGTCAACTGGTTTAATCTGTTTAATATTTGGGTCATCCTTGGCAAACATCATAGTGGATGAAAAACACCGAAGTACTGTCATTATTGCAAAAACAAAACCAAACCAAACAAAAAACAAAAAACAACACTGATGTTGGGCAGTTCTGAGAAGTTTCAACCACAGTTCTCTCAGCCAAACCTTTAGTCATGCAGCACTTACAAGCTTGGGAGGACAGTTTGGAGTGGAGAATCTGGCTACCAGCAAGTCTCGGTCAATTGTGAGCAGCGCCCAGCTGCCAAGATGTGAACCTAGGTTAGTAAAAGAACAGAGTTTGTTCACTGACCTTCTTTTCCCTTTCTTTCCTTCCTGGTGAGAGAGATCACAAACCATTCATCACTTTCTTTTGGGCCTGGTTATGTTAGGAATAGTTGACAGCAGCAGGAAAAGGGGAAGACTGAACATGAGATGGATTGATTCAATAAGGACTCTAAGGGGTCATCTTAAGCCAGAAGTGACTGGCAAGTATTGGCATTTGGCTTTGGAAAATTTTCTGCCAAGTAGAATCAGTAGACTATGCCCCCAGATTAGGAAATAACAGAACAAATTATGAGGGGCAGGACACTGTCTTTGGAACTTACCTTTGGTGAGAGAACATACACTGCCTGATAAGGTATCCACCACAATCAGCTCCTAGAAAAAAAGAAAGCATGGGAGAAATGTATTGCAGGCTGCATCCAAAGAGAACATTCCCAACCAGCTGTTTGAACATTTCAGTACGAAACTGGAAATGGAGGAAGGAACGAGGAGGAGAAATAAAGATGCAGATGCATAGTCTTCTAGGATTTTCAAACAACGAGCCCTGTACACTGGGCACAGACAAAATAAATAAAATAAATAAATAAAATCGTGAATCTCTAGATGAACCCCTTGGCTATGCTGGGTAGGACTGATGGGAGTTGTAGACTGACAACATCTGGAGAGCCATGCTTGCCCATTCCTGCTCTATAAATTCATCTGGACAGGGCCAGATGCTCTAATGCCACTTTAATTCTCCATTTTATTTACTTTCTTCAAGTTCCTTCTCTGACTCATAGGGGTTATATATGCTGGACTCAATGTGCCTGACAGCTAAGAAATTAGTCTGGTTATGTCCTTGAAGGTCAGCCAGACACATAATTCTGTGGCGCTGGCCCAAACTACACCTGACCCAGTCTGCAATTCTGCATTTCATTCTTACCTGGTGACTGCGTTGAGCTGTGTCCAGCACAACCCTTTGACTGTCCGCTGCCCAGCAGAGCTCAGGCAATGCTGTGCAATAAATTCCAGTAAATTCATCTGCAAGAGACAGAACAGTTTCACCTGAGTGGAGGCTGCCTTCAAGACTGTGTATGGGTCACAGGTCTATAGTGATCAACATCGGACACTTTCCAGTTCAGCCATTATTTATGTTGGTCCATTTACCTTAACACAGGAGGCGATACCATGTGGGCCCACCCCCATCAATTGTGTCCATCCATACAGCGTAGTGTCTGCCAGTAAAGGTACATGCATGGGCTTTTGCCAAAAGCATGGGATTCCAGATGCCATGAAGGCCTGTGTTTGTTTAGTTACACACACAGGCTCTATTCATCCAGATGTTTTTTTCTAGAGGACAGATGTCTGGGGCAGGCCTGCATGATGTTGTAAGGACAGGACTTTAGTGATATGCCAAAGAAAGCTATATTTTGAGTGCCCACATGGAGCTCCACTACACTACTTGGCTTTGTTCGCACTGAGTTTTTCACAGGGTTCCTGTTCCTCTAGATCTCCTTGGATTCCAGCCAGCCTTTCCCCCTGGACTCACTGGTGGAACTAGCTGTGCTATGCTACTCACCTTTGCCTGGCCGAGGCACAATCTCCACAATGACTGAAGTGAGCTTAGTGTACCAGTCGTACTGAAACGGAGATGAAGAGATATCAGAAATGTAAGAGGGAGACAACAGCTTTCTGCCCCATTGCATCTCAGTGCCACAGGGAGTCCTTGGGTTAAAGCTTTTTTCAGTTTGTGACATTGCAATGCCTCATGATGAAGAAGGACTAAGCCATCAGAAGAATACAGGGTGTGTTAAGAGGATGCCCAGCCTCAGCTCTCTCTCATTCCCTGTAACATCCACCACAGAGTTCTGCCTCAACAGCAATGATCAGGCTGTCCAAGATCAGCCCTCACAGTATCTGCAGTCAGGGACTTCTCAGTGGTGCTTGCCATCATGGTTGAATGAAGTTAGTTGTGGTTTACATGAAGCTCTCTCTGATCTTACACTACAGGCTCAAAATGCCCAAGCTCAGAAATCTAGCACAGGTCAAAGAGGTCCACATCTGCTCCAGATGCTATACAGGGAATGACATATGGTCAGGCCCTTCATGCAAACAGCCAATGCACAAAGGCTCTTCTCACCATGCAAAGGCGGCTGCATTGTTGATGGGGCCCAGAAGCTTTGTTCTCCAGGTATACAATGCGACACTGGTCTGGACTCAGGCGTGGCGACCAGATGGCCCTGGTATCATCTGACAGCAGCTCTGCAAAGGGAATGGGAAGCAGCAAATTAAAGACAGAAGGAAAAGAGGAAGAGGCCTTAGGCTGACTCAGAGTCTTAGACCATCTAGCTCAGTATTGCTGATGTTGAGTGGTAGGGTGTCTCCAGGGTTTGGCAGGTGGGTAAGTAGAAGGGCTTTTTCCAGCCGTTTTTGGAGAGGCCAAGGTCTTTGTGTAGCAAAGTGGGCATGGCCCTTTCCAAAACCCTTTACACAAGAAGATTATGAGAAGCCATCAACAGAGAAATAAACAACAGGGACAGGTCTTTTACCACAACGTCCACCTGTCAGGTCCACGTGGAAGAGGGCTGATCTGCAAAGAAGGAAAAACAGGAAAGAATATCTTCAGAGACGGCAGCTACAAGGGGAGGTACAACACAGCAACAGAGTCAGCAGGAGGACACCACCTGGACAGAAATGGGAATACTCTGGTGGAACTTGCTCAGCTGACTGCTTTCTGACAAGGCAGTCAAGAGTGCTTCTCCTACAGACACAGGCCTAGGATGGAAAACGTTTCAGGCCTACTAGGGGAAGCTATTTCACTTGTAGAGAATTGCAGAAAGTCCACTTCATGTAGATAATCACAAGAGCAGTCTCACCAAACACTCCAGATATGTTGAACTATGCTGGCTGCAGAGCTGAAGCCTAACATATCTCAGGGGCATCAGTCTTGTGGGGAAGACTGAGTTGTCCCCACCTTTTGTAAGCTGTTCGGCAGACCAAAAGAATACCACACCTCTGATTGTTACTGCAGTAAACTAGCCTCATAATGTTCTCCACTACACTTTCTATTGTCTGCTCCTCCATCTCTATAGAGGGTCAAGAGCCAAATGAGTTCCTGCTGGTTCTACTAGGACGCTCACCTGCGATTGGTACAATGCCTCAACCCCAGACGGAAAGGCTCATGCCACCAGCCTGTGAACAGCACCCCTGTGTCACCTGGAGTCCAAAAGGCCTAGAGACAGGAAGGAAGGCAATGTCAAACATCAAGAGGCAATGAGGACTAAGGCTTCAGTAGGTGAGAGATCCTAAAGGAGAGATTTGAAGTGGCAGCCAGTAGTTTCCGCACATGTGTCAGAGATTGGCTAAAAAAACTAAGGGGTGATAACATAGGGAGAGTGTGCAGGACTCCTATGTGGGCAAAAAGAGGTGTATCTGAGCTGCAGGGCGCCAACTCTCTTGCCAGGTGCTCTGTACTGACCTGTCCAGGTGAGATGTGCTCTGGAACACCCTCCAGTACTGAAACATTGTTGCTCTCAATGTCTAGTACACATAGCACAGGGGTGCTCTTAGCCACCAGGGTTTCCCCCCAGTCTTCATAGAAAACATACTGTTCTCCCTGGGAAAGAGAAAGAAAAAAGTCACAATGCAGAAGCCTCCCTGCGTGTCAGCTAAGAGAATCTGACTGTCTGGCAGACTGACTGGGCTTTTAACACTAAATTTTGACTTTGCTTTGGTCAAGACACTCAATGCTTCCAAGTGCTTCTAATCTAAAGAAAACACACTGTACATACAAACAAGACATTTTTATCACAAGTCATATCATCAAGGGAGTTGCTGTATGAGGATACCTCCACAGATACTGTATAATACATGAACACCAATGTTATCACGTTTCAAATGTAAGAGAGGCCTTCCAACATCCTTTTAGGATGGCTCTCCCTAGGTTGTAGTGGTAGCAAAAGGAAAGCAGTGGCTTCCACTTGGAGGCCTGCTTCTTGAGCCGTAAGCACAACAGACCAGATTCCAGCACAAATCATAGAATAACTGAGCTGGAAGGGGCATATAAGGCCATCAAGTCTAACTCCCTACTCAATGCAGGAATCCAAATCAAAACAGATCTGATAGATGGTTGTCCAATTTTCTCTTGAATGCTTCCAATGCTGGAGGCATTTAAGGCTTGCAGACAACTCGTGCTCAGGCTGCAAGAGTCTAAGGGAGAAAGACAGGCCTAGGGTGGGGAAGCCCCATCCAAAGTAGTGGGTAGTTAAGTGGCTTGCCCAGAAGGGCACCAAGAGCAAGACCAGGACTACCTTAATGGCTTTGTCTTGTCGCTCTGCCTTGACTTGTTCATCTTCACTGTTCATCTCAGGGGGTTTTGGCTTAAAGAAGGACTCAGCCTTGGGACGCTTCTTCTCTGCCACATAGAGAAGGTGAGTCTCCGAGTGTGACCAGGCCAAGCAGCCAAATTGATCTAGATAGTGGGGGGGGGGGAGAGTATGAATGAAATAATAGATGAATGAATGAATAAATAAATGAATAGATGAATAGTAAAGCACTCTGGGTGGTTTACAAGAAACAACAGATTCACACACATCCCTAATCTCCCCCCGCCATCCTAAAACATAACTGCAGCATCGCATGAGCCCTTACTTGCCCAATTAGATAGATATTACTTAAAATGAATTATTACCACATTTTCAATCAACTAAGAATAGCCTGGGATTGCCTTTATATCTGGCTCCTCCTCCAATGAATTCAAGGCACCACCCATGATTCTCCTCCTTTCCACAACAAGAACCCCGTGAAGTAACCCAGATTGGAAAGATGGCTGGCTGGCCAAGGGTCGCCTAGTGAATTTCCGTGGTTGCTGGGACTTGAATGTGGACCTCCCAATCCCCAGACGAACACATCAGCCACACAACCACAGTGGCTCTCTAGCCTCTCGTCTCTTATAAACGTGAGCAGAGCTGTAAAGAACCCTCACCATCCTCGTACACTTGGCCATGCTTCTCCAGGGCGGTCAATTCGATGCTCTTCACTTTGCGGTTCTTTTCCCAAACCTATGGAAGCAGGCACATCACAGCTTTAGCCTCCAACCCTGCTGCCCAAGTACCACTGTAACTCTCTACCACAAGTCACAAAACAGAATTACAGCAGGACCCCCTTGCCCATGGGATCAGTATCCCCTGAACACACCAGCAGAATACAAAGCCATGCTGAGCTGACAGCAAAAGGCCACAGCATCTCTGAAGACTCGGCTTTTGCAAAGGACAAAAGCTCTATGGAGAGAGAGGTAAGTAAGTGCCTTTGGCCAGAGAGGCTCAGCTTCCTCCAAGCAGACGTACCTCCAGGAACTGTTTTTCCTCGCCTTTGCTGTTGCTAGTCTTGCGCAGGACAGCTTTCTGTGCTCCGCTGGGAGAGTCCCGACTGAGCAACCTAAGGAGGACAGCAAGGTAGTAAAGCGTACAGAACTCTGCCCTTACAAGCCAGTGCAAGGACAGCTGGAAGAGTTGGAAAGCCTCCAACTGCGAGTATATTGCCAGGACAGGGTGGGCAACGTATGGCCTGCATGGGCTTCCCCTATGCATCTCAGCAGTTCCCCAAAGCCTCTTGGGAGCTCCCTGCCTGCACAAAGATAGTGGGGGGAAACGCACAATTTACCACCAAGAGAAGCTTTTTTCACCTTTGAAATTAGAAAGTGTGCACTTTCCTGCCTCATGTTCAAATTCATACTCTCAGAAGCATGGAACTGCATATAGACAAGGCAGGAATGCACACGTTTCAGTTTCATGGTGGGGGGAAGTCTCTTATAGGTAAACAATATTGCGGGGAGTGTGGAAGGGGACACTTGGCTGCAACATCAGAGGTGCAGCCAGTTCGAGGGGGCCTGTGTAACTTCTGACCTCTTGAAGGTATCCAGGCCTTTAGTAGAAGACACGGCCTGTTGTGTGAAGGCAGGGAAAAGAGAGCACTGTTTACATTTCTAATAAAAAAGCAATAAAGAGCATTACGAACAGGGCAATTAAAAGGTACCTAAGCTGCTTCCTTTAAGTTGGCTGCATATACCAAAGGATTTTAAGTTGTTTGAAAACTTGAATTTTGGAAAAACAACCTAACTCTCTTCCTATGCTTGAGTCAGCTTCCATTTCACATGCCAACACAGATCTGACATCTGAAGTAAGGCACAATATATGGGGCTTTTTAAAAAGGTGTGGTGTTTTAATTCCATAACACCCTCTAAAGCAAAGCCAGCCTGCTTGCTTTTTTTTATAAGCAACAGTGAAAACCTGGCCTTTCCCCCAATATTTAGAGCTTAGGATGTATCGTATTTAACATTTGTTTTATTGCACTGATAGTTTTCAATGTTTTATAAGCTGCTTTCTACCAAGACCAAAAATGTAGAATACCAAATACTGAAATAAACCATAAACAAAAAATGTGCGTTATTTCTCACAACATGATTTAGAATGCCCTGGATGTACAAAATGGAATTTCTGTTCCTGTCGAACGCACACAACCCTGGACATGGAAATTCACAGCTATGCTGATAATAAGAGAAATGATCTATTTCTCTGAGACTGCAAGGAGCTTGCGTTCAGCCCAAGGCTGAGGTGCTGCTGGGATATTTTTGGATAATGGATGGTGACATGCAATAGATGCTTACTCTCCCTTGATTTCAGTGCAGTTGCCAGAAGGGCTTGAATACACAATGGACTGGCTATCATGGAAAATGAGGTACTGACGGCAGAATTTCACATTTTCAGCTCTTTCCAAGTCTCGTTGAGACCACTCTGGAACAAGAAGGAAAGAACGTATCTTAGGTCCAGCCTGGCACAGTGAAAGTCAAACCTCCTCCAGTACAAACATTCATATTGCAACACAGACTGGAAAGACCAAACACAAGGAATTCGTCCCCCTCTCCCCATACCGCTACAAGACAGGACCCTATATATGTCAGATACCCAAAGATTATCATCTACAAACCAGTTTTCAGTCAACTCCAGGTACAAAACAGATAAATTAATGAGCCACTTATGAAGTTGTCCATCTCTACTCCAGGACAACCCCCTCCAAAAAAAAAAAAAAAAAAGCCAAGAAGAAGAGGAGGAGGAAGTCATTGGGGCTTTGGGAACAATATCAAGAATGATCACACAGTATTATAAGCAGTTGCAGATCTCAGAAATAACACCATCAGAGCTGCAAAAATTGCAATATTAGGAACAGCATACATACTGCATCAATATTTAACAGATACTTAGGTTTTTGGTTAAAACTTTTATCTGTTACATAATACCAGTCACTGTTTTAATAATTTTGATTGACTGTCCCTGGTGTTTTTTACTACTACTACTACTACTACTACTACTACTACTACTACTACTACTACTACTACTACTACTACTACTACTACTACTACTACTACTACTACTAATA